TTTTCGTCCTCCCCGAACATACTAACCTTGACGTTCGCTGCAACACTACTACTTACAGATTACGGACTCCACGAAATAAAGAAGACCGGCATCTCTACATCATCTTGAAGCCAACAACAACAGGTGGTGCATGGTACGTGTTGACATCCGCCGTTGTTACTAGCTTGTGTTGTTCGTGACTTGACTTAAATGATTCATTCGACTAACTCACTTGTCCTATCTGTGTTATTCCATCCTCGTGACTTAATCATCGTGACTGCATATAAATCTCACACGTTTTGTCTTTATGTGCTGGGAGCCGGCCAACCCATGTGCGTCGCCAGGTTCTGGAAAAGTCGAGGTTGGTGGCTTCGTCGGTAAAACTGTCGCGACCTAAAAGTCATTGTTGAAGTGGGAAGTGTGTTCGAGGATTTAAAAAACAAACTCATCGTGCCGTACCATCTTAAATTACTTAATGAATGTTCTACAAACAGTGAAAGCAAGAATCAATTATTTAGGCAACATTGGATGGATTGGCTCGTCATCCGCATTAAACATGTTTAAAGCCCGATTTGTGACCGTCATGATCCAGCTGCTCAAAAAGCTAAGGTGGACATGTATGTGGACATGTTGACATCGATGGTGCGGAGCAAGTGCCACTCGAGTCTGGGTAACTTGGAGCTGTACTGGCGAGAGGAACTAAGAGCAGCGGAGGGTCCAATGACGGTATCGTGTACCTTTATTGCGACAGTGCGACGACTGGGAGATTCGGGTTCAACGTCTAGTAGCTAGCTACAGCCTGTAGCTCTATGCCTGCAGGAAACCAGACTCATGGAGAGGAGGCTTCCATTCCATGGAATGGTCATCGTGATCTTGGACCAGGAGATTGTCCAGGAGTTGGCCCTGGTGAAGGACCGGGCATTATTTAAATTCGGCCAGCTGTATAGGGTCTAGTCTGGTCTCCTAGTTAGAATCGTATGACATCTAGTCGGTCTACCCGTAGGCCAGGAAGTGGATCTTTCATAGTTCCAGGCGCAGCCATCGACCGGAGCGTGGTACGGTGGCTGTGGAGTTGAGCCGGGTGCAACCCTGTGGGTCTAATCTCACCAGGCGAGCGATTGTTCCAGTAAGTAGTGCACTATTAGTCCCTCGCGTTGGTCAGCAGGTGGTCAGCAGTTGGTCAGCAGTTGGTCAGCAGTTGGTCCCGGTCCAAGCCAGTCAGGACCAAGAAATGGACATGGGGCTGCTGTAGATCCACGAGTTCGTCCAAGTGTAGGTACACGATACTACCTGCAATCGTTGCTTGCTTCACCTAGAACCTGCTGATTACTTACTTACTTGTAAAATCGAGCATTTAGCAGCGCTTTATTGACTGTCACTCTGGACCCAAGCGGCATGCAAGACAAGGAAGCCCGAGGAGAAAAAGATGCATGTCACAAGGTGCAGCACCAGAAAATGGACCAGCAACAGGGCCCAGTGGATCCACCGGTGGCGTTAGCCGGTCCAGGTGTAAGCTCATGCATGCATAGGTCGGGACATGAAAATGGACCAGGAGAGTGTGGTCTGGTGTGGATCCAGGAGCTGGACTGGACTGGACTCGACTAGACTCGGTGCAGGCGGCAGCCCTGCTAGCACCATGGGATTGTCAAGCCTGGGTTCAGGCATAGTACCATCTGGCGCAAGTCATTGTGTTGGTCCAGAAGCAGGGTTGGCCTTGGAGATGGGCATGATGGAGTGGCTAGGACCTGGAAACGGAATTAGGGCGTTGTGCAGCCCCAGGAGTTGGGCCAGGCGGGTGTAGGTCCACCATTCTAGCTACAATCACTACCCCACCAAGCATCACCATGTTGCATTACAACATACTCGTGCGGAAAGGATCGTAGCAGTTCTTGCACCGGGCGATAGTCAATCAGAAAAAAGGCAGGTTTTTGCAATGCCACTTCCAACGGTGTTTCGGAAAAGAAAGATTCCTGCATAGGGTCCGCACCAGCATCCAACAGAATCCTGGCGCTGCGTGTCTTCCCAGCCAACGCCGCCAAATGCAAGGGAGTTTCCCCATCAAAATCCATGGCGTTCACATCTGCGCTCTTTTGGAGCAACATCTCCAACACTTGGATGCTGTCCGTGCTAGCGGCGATATGCAGTGGGGTTTCACCGAGAGGCCCTTGGAGACGGGCGCTTTGCATACTCAGCCATGGACACTGTCGAAACACATTCTCCACCCTTGTCGTGTCATTGTTGAAAGCTGCATCTCGAAGGACTGGACCAGCACCAGCGGATCGTAGCTTTCTGTTCAGTTTGGAGAGGCCGACCTTGCCAATGCTCATAAATCGGTCGTGGTAGGATTTTTCGTGGCTTTGCGCTTTGAAAACATTGATGTCGACATACTTGAGTGCGGACGCAACATCAAATCGACCAAACTCCCAGCTCCCTGCCGCAAAGGGTCTGACCAGCGCTAGAGTACCTGTGGCGCACACCAAATCTATGGACTTGTTCTGTGAAACGGCATTGTGAATGTCCAACAGTGGTCCCGCTCGATTCAAGTTCCCCGTGTGAACGACAGCGGCTTCTGAAGCCCTCATGCAATGTTCCCAAACAGTGCTGTCATAGTACTCCTTCCGCGTCGCAACGTTCATTGTCAAAGGGTAAATCAGGAAAGGTGTAGTGTCAGGCATACGCCGAGCTTCTGCAAGCCACTCAATGCCATCCATAAACTCAGAGAATGGAACGTTCCAATTGAAGGTGAAGTGATATTGCCCGCGTAGCGCCTTCTTTCCGGGAATAACGTCCACGTAGCTGCGCTCGAGATCTTCGACGGAATTGTTCTCATTGTTCTCGCCAAGCAGTTTATCCAATATGACCAGGTGCTTGATGTGATACCACGTAAGGGATTTCCACTCCCCATCCCACCCGAATTCGCTGCTGTTTCCGTAGTGCTCTCCAGGGCCTTCGTTGCGACCCAGAATGCTTCGATGGCGCTTCTGGGCTTTTTCAAACGATTCCCTGTTCCACGCCTCATCCTGGAACCGTTTCTTGACTTCCTGGTAAAATGCACGTAGCTCCATCAGTGTAATGGCGCGATAGGCCGGAGCCCTATTGTCCCCGAGACTACGCCTGGATTGGCGAGACTCTTCGCAGTCTGACGTAGCTTGAGCCACAACCTTTTCGTCGAGGTCCACAAACTTCTCAACTTTTGCATCAAGCCATTTCTCGTGCAGAGTTGCATAGTCATTCCTGACAAGGTTCCCCATGGTTCCACCTTGCATGATCAATGGCTTGGTTCCCAACTCGGGTCGATTGTCGTCGCAGTAACGATACAGTTCCAATTCTCTTGGTTGTCCTGAAACGAGCTTGACAATGAACTTGTCCCCTTCCACAGCTGTTTTCTGTTGACCGCAGTCGGTATGGAAGAAAAGAGGATCCCCAACGCCAACGTGATAGACCACAATGTCACCGGTTTGCAGGCAGTGCTCCTTCTCCACCACGATGCGACCACTCTTGGTTGCTGATTCAATGCGAGCGATCATAACCAGATCTTTGGTTTCGTCTTCTCCTACAATGGAATTCTGAATTCGCCTCAAATCGCGTGGATCAGATGCTTGCGCCTCTTTGGAATCGAGACCTTTCAGCATGTCGACGTAGATCCCAGTTTGGACCATGGAGGATCCCACCATCCCCAAGCCTGTTGCCACTTTTAGCGAGTCTGCACGTTTCAGACCCTCGATGGTCTCGTACCATTCAAAAAGGCACCAAGCTCGCTTCATCACAATCCCCTGTCGGTCCATTAGGAGCAAGGTTTCCCGTGAATTCTCCAAGGCACGGAAGAAAGGTGATGTTTTCAAGGTAGTGTTGAGTTGACCCGAAATATCCCATTGGTTATTCGCACAGAGGCAATACCAGTACGTGTGATCTGGATCCACTCGGTTCTCCTGAGCGTGGTGCTCAATAGAAAGCATGAGATCCCGAAAACTTTCTGCCCAAGCGTGAGAGAGATATGTGTCGGGAGGTTGCGCGGGATTGGTGGGGTCTGCCACCAATTCTACCCACGAGCAGGCTCTCTCTTGGGGGATGATCTTCTTCAAGACTAGTTCATTGATATCGTACTGATTGATCGTGAACCAAAACACTCGATCATCCGTGGCAGCAGTGGTACCCTTAGTACCATCTTTAAAAGTGGATGACTTCTTTAGGATACCCGCTTTGCACAGACGCTTGATGTAGTCTCGCAAGTTTCGGAGCTGTTGCAGCGTGATGGCTCTATCACTGGCATCTTCAATCTGCGCACGTAGTGGCGACCAGGTCCGAAAAGGAACACTTTGGCCATACGACGGGTCGCTTCTCCATGGGACAGGCATGTCTTGAGGCAGCCCTGTTGTTTGTGTTGTTCCTCTTTGGCTCTGTTCTTCGGTGGGAAAGATTTTGCAAAGATCCAATATCTTTTCTTCCCAAACGGTACTCAGAGCAATAGTGTCTGACATCACAAAGTGAAGTGCAACAGTACAACTGTACAACTCCAGCCAACAACAACAAACTCCGAAACTCCGAGCTGAGTGGTACAGTACCGTAGAAGGCATAGGTGGATGAAACTCTTGTGATGGGAAAGCATTCCCATGGCGTAAAAGGTCATGTAATAATACTGCCGCTCAAGGTGGTCATCTGAGAATCTTGAAATGGACAAGAAGAATGGCTGTTAGTGGACCGCTCGAGAAATCTTCGAAATGGGCAAAGCAAAATGACTGTAAGCTGCTGATGCAGGGGTTTGGAATTCTCACACAAAAAAGAGGAGCCTCCATGCTCCATGGGACTTCGGTACCATGCTGGTATCAAGAAGGCTGGTAATATGGTCGTTGAAAGGATAGAAATGGGCAAGCATGGCGAGAAGGTCGCTCAAGGTGGGAATCTGAAAATCTTGAATTGGACAAGAAGAATGGCTGCCAGAGGAATTTACAACTGAGGTTTAGAGGAGGTAGATTATCTACGGAAGCCGGCGAGGGCCAGGCTTAAGCAAAGAAGAGTCCAAATTCAGGCTATGTTCCATGGGATCGGGGGCAATAAATTGAGGAACATTATGGGGGCCAAAGGGCTTGGCTTTGCGGGATGACAAGACGTGTGCTGCTGTGCTGCTGTGCTGCTGCCGTTCGAGTTGGCACGAGATCTTAGGAACGGGCGCGGCAAAATGAGTGCCTGTGGAATGCAAGATCATTCTCCAAGGCTGCTGATGATGTGAGCTTGGAATGCTGAAGTCAGCGCACAAGAAAGGCCGTCTGTTCAAACTCGTGAACATCTGCTGCTAAAAAGTGGACATGATGGATATGGTCTGGAGAGATCGGTTTGGCCTGGAAAGAACGCCTTGCCCCTTGCCTTCAAACAGGAGAGGCCAAGCATACAGAAATACCATATGTACACCAACGGAGGACACACAGACTTGATACAGCAGGCGATGCCCCTGCATGCACTAGTACCGGTGGGCCCAAAGAACATTACTATTTTGTGATGCTGATGTTCAAATATTGCTGTCATACTATGTTGTCAGGCTACCGGTACTCTTGTTCTCTGCAAGAAGTCACTGAATTCTCAAATAATATCTTTCCACAACTCAACTCAGCCATTCACATAAAGGCAAGAGTAATAACTCTGTTGCAATATGGGGATGGCGCTCTCTTCGGTTTCATTCAGGTGCCGTACGGGCATAAAGCGGTGGGATGGCGGGTGCTGCGTTAGACCAGTTGGCGGTGGCCTCAATTCGAATTTTCAATGGCACGAAGAAGGATCCTCTTGTTTTCAATCTCCTTCGTGCGAACCTTATTTTCAAATCTGACCTTGGCATTCTCCTCCGAAAAACACTCCTTCAAGACTTCCACCTTCTTCAAGCCTCCAAGATCTTCAGGTGGAACTGGCAACATCGTTGACCAACAGATTGCGGCGCCGCAGCCTGATTCAATGGTGGCACCTGATCGCTTCTGATGACGTGAACCAGAACCCTTGCCAACAGTTGCGGCTTGTTTGAAGGGATTCAACGTTTGAAACCAGCTGCGGGTCGCCCTAGCGGAGCCATGAAACCGGCTTGGACCATGGCGAAACAAGAGAGCCCAGCGTCCGCCATCCTCCTCCACGAACTCTGTTTCCAAGAGCAAAGGTGCCGCCCGTTTAGCGCTCGGAACTTCTCCACAAAAAGTGTCTCCATCACATCCCTCAGTTTTGACCCAGACGGCTCCACAATGGTTACACTTCTTGCAAACATTGTTTGGATTGGACATGTCGGCTACATCGTAAGAAAGAAGCTTGTTTGTCGTCTCCGTGAATTCTTTTAGGCGGAGGCTGAGATTGACCCCAGCTTTTCCGTACAGGAGGTTTTGCTGCTCTTCCTGGTACTCATCAAGAGCTCGGAACAAATCTTGCTTCGAGGTGCTGACCATCTCCGTGGTGGCGTGCTGTACAGTCGTGATGAGGAAGTCACTTTCATAGCATCGGCCTTGGGAAACAGCTTCGCGACAAGCAACCTCTGCAGCAAGAATCTTGGCGAACACTGCGTTCAGAGGTTTGTTCATCCGCCGAGAACCAACACCCAAAGCAGCGACTTTAGCCATCTGTACGCCATTCAACTTGACACATCGTGGCTCGTGGAGAGTTCGTTGAATGAACGCCTTCACAACCGCAGGTGGTGTTGTCTCTCCAAACGAGAAAATCTTGTCTTCGCTGATGTCCAACGTGGAGGAAAGCTCTCGACGGAGTCCTTCTGGGTCATATCCTTCCTGGCACGCCGCGACATCTTGATGAGTGATTGCAATTCGAATGTCGTCGCATCCAAGAACGTTCATGATTGTGTCGGCCAACTCTGCGATATCGTCTGCCCGACCGTACTTGACAACCAAAAACATACCAGACACAGGAAGTTCCTCCAAGGCGACCTTTTGTGCACCCACATGGCCAGCCACATCCGTTGACGAAAAGAAACCAGGAGTGTCGATGACTGCGAGATCATTTTGCATATACGCGAGCTGAACGTGCTCCGTGAGCGACCTCGCTCCCATGCCAGCTGGATAGCGTGATCCACACAGCATGTTCATCATGGTCGTTTTACCATGGCCCACTTTGCCCAGAAGCACGACCGTTCGCATACGAGCCATGTCTTGTATTGGATTTCGGGATGACCTTGAAAGCGCTTCAGAACTTGCAAGCCTTTGAAGAATGAGACGAAGGACGCATCAGGAGAAAGAACCGTCGACCTCAAGGATGGTTCATGGGATTCATCCGTTTGAGACCTAACGTATGAGTCCCTCGCGAAGCTGTTTGTCATGCTTGGCAGAAAGTCCTGTGCAGTCAACTACTCCTCTTTCAACAACTTGCTTCTCAGCCGTCAATCCACACTAAAACGTCTAGTCCCAGAAAGATGTTTGGTACGGGCAACTAATGTACTCCATCGGACATCGTTGCTAAGTGGAAGTCAACCGCCGTATCCCGGTGGGTATTTACTTGATATACGAATCACAGACGAATCGCAGCAAGAAGGGATCGATTACATCTTCTACTGGAAATGACTGAGGACTTGTCGGCGCTTGCTTGGAATCATAAGCTCGAGGCAGAAACCAGATCCCGCCAGGCCACTCCTCGCCGTCTGATAGGTTTGTTTCTCTACAATCAGCGATGGCAGACGAAAACCGCTACGTCGTTTTGCTTGGTAAGGTCGGTCATGGAAAGACGAGACTGCTCAATGAGCTCACGGGCTCGACATACCGTTCCTCAGCGGGAAACTTGAGTTGCACTCGACGGCTTCAGAAAGGTCAGATTGCTGGAAGTGAAGTCTTCGTCCTCGACACGCCTGGGCTTTACAGCTCTGATGATGTTGCCGGGCACATCAATGCACAAGTGAAGGCCTTTGAACACCCAATATCTGGCATTTATGTCGTCGTCCGCTTCGGCGAGCCCGGGGAAATGGCAGAGGTAGCAAATCGAGTAATGGACATGACAAGTGAAGAGGATGTCCGAGTCATCTGTACACACTTAGATACCGAGGAAGGGAAGCGCGGATTCGACGGCGATCGTGTTGCTGTGGACCTCTCGTATCTTCTGGAGATTCCTAAAGAACACATCGCGATGGTGGGAAAGAACACCGATAGCGTTGCAATCGAGAAATTCATTCTCAACACTATCCATAGACCGAGGGACATCAAAGTGGCAAAAGAGCAGCGCTCGGTCGTTGCATCACTGTCGGTGGGTTCCAGGAAATTCAACGTAGATATCGATGGAACAGCCGGAATCTTGGATGAAGCATCTCAAGCAATGGCGGTGATTGACACTCTGAGCGATGGAAAGTTCAAGACCTTCTTCACCGATTTCATGATTCAGAAATCTGAGGATGTGCTCGAGACAGCCTGCAATGACATCAAGGCCCGGGCAAGAGATTTGCTTCCAGGAGACGAAGCTGTAGTTTGCACCAAACTTGACAAGGTAAAGGAGTCATGTTTGAAGTCCTTTAAGGAGAAGCACCAATCCTCGCGTTCGCAGGAAGAATGCATGAATTGTGGCGGGGGTGGATATGGGAAATCTCGCAAGCGGCGGGGGCGCAGAACTATCAACAGCAGCAATTCTGGTTGGTTCTCCAACACTATACATGATGTCGACAGTACCTTTCAAAACCAAGCAGACAAAGAATTTAAAGCTGCCCTCTATTCTTTCCTGCTCTTTTATAGCAAGGATAGAAGCAAAGGAAACGAAGAAGAATGCCCTTCGACGACTGCAAGCGCCAAGAACGAGTCACGACTTGCGCCGAGCGCAAGATCATTTTCGGAGAATCCCAGAGGACGCTCAGCAACAGATGAGTCTAAATTGATTGATAGCGCGGCAGCCGCAAGAAACGGTAGCTCAGCAACAAACGTTGGCGAGGCCGAGCTCAAGTCGTCCATTTCGACCGATGATCTGAACAAGGGTTCGGCTCAAGTTCGTAAGACATCAAAGGATGGTTTTGGGGCTGAAAAAGAACACGCTTCGAAGACGTCGTTATATCAATTCATTGGGAGCACGGCATCACATGAGAACAAGTACTATCGTCCCGGTACGAATCAAAACAGCGAAGTTAGGGCAAAAGAGGATCGTCATCCGAAGAATCAGTTTCACAGACCTAGTGATCATCCTCACAGTGCGCGTCCATCCAATAAGGAAGCGAAGAGCCCATCGAACCCACCCGAAACGGAGGTTCCAACCACAAGAGAGAAATCTGAAGTCCCTGTACACAGATCCCCTCGCGGGCGAAAAGATCAACACAGCGTCTCATCAGGCCGACCTGATCCATTCTCAGGTGGTGAGCGACCGGATCAAAACGGCCTCTCCGCCGACAGACCTATTTCTTTACAAGATGCTCCATTCACCAAAGGAAAGCAAGATACTTCAAATACCAATTTGACGGGAAGAGGCTCGTGTTCGATGTCTTCAGGGGCAGATGGTGACTTCAATGGAGTTGCTGCTCAACGCATTAGTGAACCTCAAACCGATCATTACCGTTATTCATCTGGTGGTCCTGAAGCTGTGTCTTGTCAGCCCTGTCCAGGTTTACGTCACGCAGATGTTGAGAGTTGTTGCCCCCCAAACAACGCACGTCATGAAGCAGCAAGTCAGCCAACAGAAAGAGGCGACGAAGAAGTAGCGAGGGGGTATCCAAGTATTGGTTTCTCCTATGGATCTCGTCACATGCTCTGTCACTCTCTGGTAGGTCCTCGTTGCAATCAGCCACAGGATTGGAAAGGGACTTTGTTGGGCAGTCAAATGCTTTGGGCCCTGGCCACTTCTCAACGCCCTCCCCCTCATGCGGGGTATCACCGTCGTGGGCCGGAAGAAAAACAAGAAGAGGAGAAGCCAACCCAACCAACTGCCTGCGAGTTCTACGAAGATGGAGTTGAAGCATATTTGGCACACGAGGATGATTGTGGTCAGGGACATGGCAAGCCCCCTGTGTTGCTACACACCTCCGAACAACAGGATGTGGAAATGGAAATCCTCGACTGAAGTACTCTGTCATGGTTTACATGTACATGTATGCCAGTGTATGTTTCAGAATGATCCTACGACGTCAGAAGAGGCGCACAAAACTTGTGAGTTGTTCTTGTCTATCACCGGCATTCGAAACTCAGGTTATTTGAACTGTCGTATTGAAAACGAAGGATGGAATTGAATTGTCTGCAATGAAGAGAACTGATCTGTTGCACCATCTATACTAGACCTACTAGCTGTGATTTTTATGGAGTAACGACGGCTTATTATATAGGATTGATCAGCTTCCTCGTACTTGCTCGTAGACGGCTATGTCAGCTCTACCTCGGGTTGGTCATGTTCCACCACTTGGTAATGGGAGGGGCGCTTTGGCTTGTTGGCCACCACCAACACGGCGATAGCTACCAAAAGGACAGCAGCAACTGCCAGGACGCCGATAGACACGCTGCTAGCGGTCCCATCTTCACCACTGACCCCTTGGTTGCTCGGAACTTCTATTTTGATGCTAGACGGCTGAAAATGCTGCGTTTGCGACTTGACAGTGTTGAAGTCGCAGTTGCTGGAGGCGAACCCAATGCGATCGTTTGCAAAATGAATGTTTTGGCCCCGCATAAAGTCAGCGCCAAGGACTGTTTGGTCGCCCATAAAGTAGAGGGCGGGTTCGTACATGGCATCACTGTTCTCCGTTGGCCACATGTAATGCAGAGGAGGAAACTCCACCACGACGTTGTCTGAATCCGAGTCCCTGGCACGAAATTCCAGTACCAGCGTTGGCAATGCCTTGACGTCCTCCAACGACAGTTTTTTCGACCACGAGTTTCCCGTCAGTTGCTGATAAGCATCTCGAATAGGCTTGGCACTCAGAGGAAAGCTGGAGGTAGTGGTTCCACTGTCCACAATTACCCCACCAGCGTTCATGGTTCTGGTGTCCAACCCCTTAATCTTGCTAATTGTCGTACTGCTGGTGTGTGGCACAAAGTACATGTCTTGAAGAAACAGTCCAAAGTACCGATCTTGTGATCTGGTTCGTTTGGCCCATTGCATAGTTGCACCCGCCAAATGTAATCGGTCGTCGTACCCATCCAATGTCAGGACACCGGCAGAGTCTTCTAGTTGAGGCGCCGCTGCACTTTGAAAGCACAAGCTAAAGCTCTGGGCTCCCGCTTGACGCCAAAATGATAGGGGAGAATCATCCATTCCCATGATTCCATCTGCGAGTTGTGTCCGAAAGAGCTTGGTAGTTGCAGTCTGGCAACCAAATCGGAGTGGAAATGGTCCTTGCAAAGAACTTTGATTTTGTTCTACTGCAGTTGTGGAATCATTCGTATTATTATTTGCTTGCTGCTGCTGCCTCCACAAGGACACATGATCTTGAGCCTCAAATGCCGTCCAAGAGCTTCCTTCGGCATACGCCATGTGGACATTGCAAGATTGGGTGCCGCGACAGGACTGCCGTCCTTGTCCACAGGAATCGGCACACGATCGATTGGAAAACGTCTCGCTCTGCGCAAAGTCGAATTCGGCGTCCGTATGCTGACCACAGCAACCCGCCACACAGGGAAATGCCGTCCATTCCGAGCCTGTATCGACAATTAAACTGGCAGTTTGGGAGGATGGGGTACCAATAAAAAGATCAATATAATGCGTTCCAATTCCTATACACATCATAGTAGTGTAGTGGGTCGAGTCAGTGAGATATATTTGGCGAACCAGAAAGACAAGCGATACACAGCAGTGAAGCAAATGCCAAACATAGACCATAGCAACGTACCCTGAAACAATGATGCATCAGCATCCGTTGTTGAAGATTCTTCTTGTAAAGTTCGTTTGCGTCTTGCAAGCTGATTGTGATGAGGTATCAAAGGAAAATGCGTCATTGTCATTTCGCCTGTGCTCTTCGGCGAAGAAGCAACAACATGGTGAATACTCAAGATGAGAAAGAGACCACTACAGCAGCAGCAGCAGAGATATTGAGTGTATTGTCTGATCATCCTTGACTTGCTGATCTATTTGATTATTATTTCGATGCTTTGTTTTGTAGTCCAAGCCTTCTGTTTTGTTGTGGACACTTGCTTGGCTGCATTGGACGTGCTTTGGATCCTTGCGTCCTTGCTTGCATGGTGGATGGCTGCATGCACCACGATCCAAATAAGCCAGTGCAAGATACTTTACGCTCACTCGACCCTTGTAGGGGAGGCGACCTTGTCACAAGACCCATGAACGTGGAGGGACAGTACTTTTTGGAAAGCTACCAAAAGTGCAGGGTCCAGTTACAACATCTATATACACTCTGTATTGTACTGCCTGGCTAGTAGACTACCTAGCTAGAGGAATCTTTCAGAATTTGCTCAACAGCTCGAACGGTGTCTTGCAGTTTCAGGTCAAATGTATTCGTATTTTTGTTGTTGTTGTTGTTGTCTGGCTTGCGGTTGGTCACTCGATAATGGTGAGCATGACCCTGCCAAACGTTCCACATTTGATCGTCCAATGCCCTTGCTTGCTCGGGAGTTTCTTGCCTGGAGACTGGGTTTCCGTCGTCGTCGACCGTGTCCCCGGATTTGTAGAACTCCAGCGCACCCTTGGCGGCAGTATCCATATGGATGACACCAGCATAGTGTTCCAAGATGGAGGCTTCCTCCATACCCAAACTAGCTAACACATCTTGCCACAATTCCGAGGACATGTAACCTTTATTGTCCAGAACCCCTCGATCGCACAATATCACAACTGCTTGCTTATTGTGATGGTAGGATGCTGCAATATCGGTCAAATTGTTTTCCAAGGCAAGTTGCAGGCGACATAACGAAGCCTGGTAGGCTTTGTGTTGCTCATGATGAGTGCCATCGGGATCGTATTTGGCTCCGGCAGAATTCAAGAGAGTGGCCGCTTCGGGAGCACAGTAGACTGGAATGCCATGCGGTACTAGCGATTTCTGTAAGTAGGACAAGGCCGAAGATTTGCCGGAACAAGGGCCTCCGGTTAGCACGATGCGAAACACATTCTCACTCTGGCCTTTCGTTGTGCTGAGCAGCCTTCTGCTTGCAACGATGGGTGAAGCATGTGGCGCTGCAATGCGAGAAGCTAAGGAGGCCGCTGTTGATGTCATGGTCTTTTCCCCTTTTGCTGTGGTTGTGGGACTGGCCAGTAGTATGGCTCTACCAGAGGACAGCTTAGCGGGCTTATTTGAATAGCAACTTTAAGGCCCTTCGGACCTTGATCCCAACGTACCGGTATGTCCTTGGGATGCAAGAACATGTCACCACTGGTATAGCTAGGGCGCTGCTAAAGGTGGACATTAAAATGTGGAGATAGTAAAGTGGGAAAGAGAGAATGATAGCCGGAAAATTTCTGGGTGCTGCTGGACACTTGGAAATACAAAAGTGGGCAATCCATAATGGCTGCCCATGGGGGTACGGTAACAGTGGTCATTATTCGGTGATACCAAAGTGGGCCAGCCAAAATGGCTGCCCATGGGATGCATCTACATGTTTCTAAGCTCCTAGCAGTGGTCCTTCCGAAGTGCTGAAATGGGAAAGGGAAAATGGATGTCCTTGGGAAAATAGACAGCATGGTTTGCTGCATTGTACCGATACTGACACATGGCAGTGGCAAAATGGGCAGTAGACAACTGACACCCACAGGGAAGGAGGTGCCACATCGTGTTCCGGTAGATTGGTTGCCCAGAAGGAATGCGGTACCGTGCGGCTCCGATTGTCGTTTGGAACTGTTAAACCTACTCGAATGCTCAAAGAGAACCTTTTAGCCTCCTAACCGGTAGATACAACATGGATTCCATGTGCTAGATGACAATCAAGGACTGGCTTTCAATTGGACTGCACGTGACTGGTGGTGATACTCATCACATGGTATTGCCACCAATACAACCATACCAACTTCGTTTGATTTGTGAAATCTTCCTGGCCACCCAACATTCTTCATCTTTCCTCCTTGTCCGTAGCAGCATTGTTGCTGCTGCTTCTTCCGGTCAGAATTTCCCCCCGTTTCAGAGACTCAATTTCAGCTTGTAGATTGTCACGTGCTCTTTGTTCAAAGGCTTCCTCCATGACCTGTGTGCCAAAGATTTGCGGCTGTTCCAAAAATGTTTCGAGGACTTCCACTCGTTTTTCACAGTACACTGCATGTGGCACATGCTGATACTCATTTCGAATCAAGGCAGCATAACGTAAATATGCATTCTGTTCTTTTCCCAGTACGGCCATGTCGAGGTCCAAAAAGAGACTGAGCAAGGGCGAATTTTCGGTGGAGACTTGATGTTGTTTGGTGGCCAAAATCAAATCTACCACGGAATCTTCCAGTCCGTTGGCAATGGTTGTGACACCTCCCAATTGGAGTTCCTTGACGAATGTTTGAAACAAAGCAGCACTGTCTTCTTCATTGGTAGAAGAATGGACATTGTAAATGGCATCGTGAAAAAAAGTGGCCAACACCAGTGTCTCTTCGTCACTGGTTCGCTTCTTCGGAGTTTGTTGTTGTAAGAGCATGTCCAGATACAAGAAAATTTCTTCCAGATGCATCAATGTGTGATAGTGCCGTTGTGATTCCGAGTGATGGCGACACAGCCTTTCAAACCAACTCAAACTAATGTCGGGTCGTCCACCAATGTTACATGGACATCGCATCCATCGATACATCAAATCCAACCGCAATTGATCGCCCTTTTTAAAATTGATCGCCCTTTACACTTGCGTCGAAATTCTCATTGTGAGCAACAATAGAATTTCTCAAAGCGAGCGATGTAGAAATGGAGCTGCTGTCATCCTTATTGAGGTCTGGGCCCTCCATCCTGGGAAGAAGAGAGGATTGGTTAGGAGAGGCATTGAACAGGGATGCTTCCCATGCACTGCTGGTTCGAAAACGTCTGGTAAAAACGGCTTAGCGGGCTTATTTGAGTGAGTCCAAAGCGTACTGTTCAGCTGTACAGTGCTAAAATAGCTCTCAAGCTAGTACGTGTACAGTTCCGTACAGTTCGGACGGTGGTAGCGTTCATGGAAAGAGTTTACCTGGTAGTATCTTTGGTTTCAGTCGGGGTATCTTTTGAGGCATGTGGCAAGCATGTGGCCTTCTTATTCACCTCTTTCGATGCCTCCCTCTGCTTTCTCACAACAAAGAAGCAAGATCCCTTTGTTCATTAAGAACCATCCAGCAATTCCCTTAACCCACAAAACGGATATCCACCATGAGCGCCGCTGTTACCCCTGGTGTGACGGTCACTGAAAAGATCAACGAAGATGGAAGCAAAACTGTGACGACTGTGACCATTCACGAAGATGGATCCAAATCGACCAAACGCAAGACCATCCGGCCCAAAAAGCCCCGAGGTGGGACTTCTTCAACTCGCTCTCCCGCTCCAGCAGCATCCAAGCCCAGTGGTGGTGGTAGCATGGAAGATGCCCTCGAAGATGCTCTGTCGGGACACCAGGACGACGAAACCTTTGAAAACGCAGTGAAGCGTTGCATTCCGTCGGAATTCCTGTTGTTTGCCAGTCAGGATGACGCGACACAGGCACAGGAAGCCCATTATGCGGCCAAGCTTTTCGATCTGCCCAATCCAAAGGGCCAAGCTGGATCCGTCGCCACGTCGGCGTTGGTCCAGTATCTTTATCAAAACTACAAATCTGTCGTGAGCGATGGTGGCGACAAGCCCCTTTCCTGCTTGGCGGTACTCCAAGAAGTACATGGCAGCATGAAAAAGGCTGCAGGTCAGTTCGATTTGCAGCCACAAATCTCCTACAGTCGTCCTCTAGGACCACCTCGGTTGGGATCCAAAAAGTATGAGCCCTTTTATTTGGTCCCACCCGGTTTCGAGGGCAAGCGTCGTGCCCTTCTCATTGGTATCTGCTTTGTGGATGACGAACCCAGCAAGGTCCTCACGAGTCCTCACAATGACGTGCATAATGTCCAGCAATTCTTGGTTAACAAGTGCGGCTTTGCCAAGGACGATATGATGATTCTCACCGATGGCGAGGGCGCTACGGCGGCACCCACCAAAAAGAACATTTGGGCCAGCTTTCAAAAGCTCATCGACGAGTCCAAACCCGGTGATGTTGTCTTTCTGCAGTATTCGGGACACGGCGGACGAATGCTCCAGCCCGGCTCCGGCGACCTGTACGATAGTTACATCTTGCCGGCCGATTACAAGACCGAAGGCCAAATCTTGGATGATGACATTCTCAAGGATTTGATCAAAGCCCTACCCGCCGGAGTGCACACGACATTCTTGGCCGATTGCTGCAACTCTGGAACTGTGGGCGACTTGCCCTACGTTCTCAAACCCACCACGACCCGTGACCAAGAGATTGAACGTTTCTTTGATACGGATACTCGTGCCGAGATTTTGGAGGCCGAAGCCAAGGGCAAACAAGAACGTGAGGAATACGAACGTGCCAAGCTAGAGCGCAAAAAGCAGCGAGAACTCCGCAAGATCGAGCAAGAGAAGGCAAAGGCATCCGCCAAGGCCAAGGAGGAGCAGGATGCCGAGGCGTTGGCGCAACAGTTGGTGGGAATGAACACTGGAGGAGGGATGCCGATGATGCAGATGTCACCTCAAGCCATGGGGGCTCCTCAGACCCACACCTACAACATTACGGATGAAAGTGAGGTGGCCGTGCTTTCCAAAAAACACGGTGTCGCCTTGTCGTTGTCTCCCGACCAGAAAGCCTGTTTGCAGCAGGGTGGAACCGTGACATTGTCCTTTATGACGCAGCAACCCCAACAGATGCAAATGATGCCTCAACAGCAGCAAACGGGAATGATCATGATGACGCCCGAACAGGCAGAAGCCTTCAAGAAGGCCAACGGAGGCAACTTGATGATGACACCCGAGCAGGCTGCCGCTTTCATGAACCAGCAGCAGGCTTCTTAACTTAATTTAGAAAAGGGGGACAGATTGACCCAGCAACAGCATCGACACTTATTGAAAGTCGAATACATGCTATGCATGATAAACTAAACGCAGACACTGATTTTGTGCGCGCGGTGTCGACGATGGGCTCAATGCATTTTTGACCCCTCCAGCCATGCCGGTACAGTGGATACCTCGAATCGGCGTGGCTGTACCATAAGCCATCCAGATTCAATACTGTATCCATAGTGGATGAATCGAATCAGAATCATTGGCGTCGCCCCATGTCCAAGGCTCTCTGGGATCATAGCTGATCATTCTCCAACTCCTCGATCTCCTACACGTATAATAAAGTACCGGCATTCTTCTTCAACACTCTTCACTCTTCAGCCCAGCCTGTCCTGCACACTGCACACTCCTGCATACCGATAGCTACTGGTACATACATGTACCATTACTCCTGCACAGCCTGTAAAAACATACTTGATGATGATGGAGATGGAATATTCGAATGGCCCTACTTTCTGCCAGTGATTCATCCAATCGACCATCAGTACTGTTGCTTCTATAGTTCGAGGAAGCCATCCTTCTTGTTGACACGTTGACACTGTTTGATAACTTCGTTAATTTCGAATTGACTTCCGCAGCTCCGCTTCCGGAAATAATGACACTCCTTTCCTGCCTGGTTAACTAGTGAGTACCGGTACAGTCGTACTCTAGCTACCGTAGTACACGTAGCTCGTGGTTTCGGTCGGGTACCAGTAGCTACGTGTAGCCAGTTCCCGAACGTGTGCGTAGTAGGCACAAGAAGGAAACTCCAACAAGCTTACCGTACCTCTCATGTAGCACGGTACCTCGTACATGAAAGCTCGGCACCCCTTCGCATCAAGAGCGAATTCTGAACCTTCCGTTGTACAGCCGTAGCACGTAGGTACACTTTCTACCAGGCGTATGGTAAATGACCTGTGCTTTATTATTAGCTTCCGCAAACCCAAACAGTTTTTTTTGGTGCGGAAGCCACAACTTTGGATTTGCTTTCAAAAAAGCTCATTCAATTCCCATCGATCATAAAAAGCTTGCTGCTCCGCTGCTCCTCATTGTTCGTCTCTTTCTCCTTTACTTTAAAATAGTAGTTTGAACTCAACTCACCATGAACGATATTGCGCAAATCGGCAACTGGACCACAGAGGAGAGCGAGTACATTCTGGCTTTGATGAAAGAGTTCAAAGCTGGGACCCTTCCAATCGCAAAAGGAACCACGCTGCGCAAGTTCCTTTCCAGGGAGCTGGGCTGCAACGTGAATCAGATTACCAAGAAGTTTAAGGGGACCAGCTACGATGCCAGGAGCAAGTATAGTGGTTCCCTCTCCTCCTCCAAGTCGCCCATTGAGGATCGCTTGAGACTCGACCAGCTGGATATGCTGAAGAAGAGATATCAGGATGGTCAAAAGGACGCACCGGTAGCACCAAAGACCACCAAGAAGGCTGCTCGGGTTATCGCTTCGGTGCAGCATATATCCCAGCATGCCAAAGCGCCACCTATGACAACCGAAATCACTGTGGCCGTGATGCCTGTGGAACAATCACCGGCTATGGCCGCAGGTCAGCGGACTCTGCAAGACATTGATTGGCTGGCTTTGGCTGGGGGGCAGGCTCTCCAAGCTTTGAATAACCATCAAGCCAGTCCCCTGTCCACTGGTTTGAGCGGTGGTCTGAAGCAGCAGCAGCAATCGGCCCCCGCAGCCAGTGTGACCTATGCAAGTTTGACTGCTACCGTGGCCCCTACCCGGGATAACTGGCAGCAGCAAACCCAGCAGACCCTATCGTTCGGAAACGTGAACAGTGCCCCTTCCAGCAACGAGTGGGCTCAAGCTCTTCTAGGGTATGGACAGCAGCAGCAAAGCAGCTCTGCCGCTTCGTTGTACAACAATGCGGTTGAGCAAGCTCTCTTAGAGCGGTATGGACACAGTGATTCCCAACCAAGCCATGCCGCTTCATTGTACAGCGCTCAGTCCAACAATGAAGTTGCTCAAGCTCTCTTAGAGCGGTATGGACACAGTGATTCCCAACCAAGCCATGCCGCTTCATTGTACAGCGCTCAATCCAACAATGAAGTTACTCAAGCTCTCTTAGAGCGGTATGGACACAGTGATTCCCAACCAAGCCATGGAGCTTCATTGTACAACACTCAATCCCACAATGCAGTTGCTCAAGCTCTCTTAGAGCGGTATGGACACAGTGATTCCCAACCAAGCCATGCAGCTTCATTGTACAGCGCTCAATCCAACAATGCAGTTGCTCAAGCTCTGCAAGGGTACGGATACGGCAACCCCCAGTCGAGCATTGCCTCTTCGATGTACAGTACACCATCGGACAGTGCGGTTGCCCAGGCACTCCTTGGGTATGGATACAGCGCTCCCCAACCAAGCACAGCCTCTTCGTTGTACGGCACTCAATCCAACAATGCTGTTGCACAAGCTCTCCTAGGTCACAGCGACCAAAACACGGCATCGGCGTACATGTCCCTCGACCCAAACGTCTTTGCTTATTTGACTCAGGCGCCTTACTAGTACAGCTGTAGTCGAGAACGACTCTGGGAAGACCTCAAAGCTCAGCATACGGTAGCCCCTCATTTATTCATCCGTCCATTCTTGATTGCTTCTATACGGCCCAGTTGCATCGGTACATGCAGCAGACCAGCACATATCGCTTCTCTAGAAGATCCATATAGGTATCAAGTAAACACTAAACTGTAACGATTATCTCTGTTGTTCTGTACCGGTCAGGGTTCGCTAACCTGATAGATTTGAGGAATAGGTTACTAACCTATACACTAACCTGGTAGAAAATTGCACTAGGTTAGTGTATAGGTTACTAACCTGATAGAATTTTTGTAGTAGGTTAGTGTATAGTGTATAGGTTAGTGTCAGGTATTTATCAGGTAACTGTAGGTTACCTGATAAAGTAACCTGGTATTGTCATAGTAAGTTACCTATTACTGTATATAAGGTGTTTTGCCTTGTTAGTAGTTAGATGATAGTTGATAGGGTGGTTAGGCATCAGAGATAGTCACCCATGACGACTCGTGTGCCACCCAAGGGTTAGTCAACTCAGAATGCGAGGGTGGCTAGGTAACAGAGATAGTTACCCTTGACAACTGCAGATTGAGAGGTGGTTGGATAACAGAGATAGTTACCCTTTACAACTGGAAGGCGTGGGTCTTCAGTGGTAGTGCCACCCAAGGGTTAATCTACTGCGGAATGAGGAAAATGGCCCCAAAAACGGTGAAAAGTAACCTGATAGAAAACCTGGTAAGTAACCGGTACACTAACCTGATACAAGATCGTATTAGGTTAGTGTATCGGTTACTAACCTGATAGAATTTTTTTAACAGGTTAGTGTAAAGGTTACTTTATCAGGTTCCGGTTACCGGTTCTTTTGGAAGTAACCGTAACCTAATATTCGGTTTTTTTTCAGCGCTCGTCTCCTGTATCCCTTTGGATCCTTTGACGAATACGGTACCAGTCAATCCAGCCATTGCAGCCGGCTACCATAGTTACATGGGTGACAGTGGCAGCAGTACCGAACACACTCAGGTTCGCTTTGCTTGCTACATTACCGGTACCTCGCATTGGATCCTTATGATGAATATATGCACAAAACCGAATATTGTTAATCCAGCATTGTAGCCCGCTACCGTACAGTTACATCGGCGACAGTGTCAACAGTACCGAACACACTCAGGTTCCGCTTTGCTGGCTACACTCCGTTGCCGGTATCTTGCATTGGATCCTTATGACGAATACATGCACAACCGAACATTGTCAATCCAGCCATTGCAGCCAGCTATCGTAGAGTTCATCGATCGGTGACAGTGCACAGTACGAACACACTCAGTTCGACTTTGCTCGCAGCACTCGGTTACCTCGCATTGGATCCTTATGACGAATACACGCACAACCGAATATTGTCAATCCAGCCATTGTAGCCAGCTGCCGTACAGTTACATCGGCGACGAACACACTCAGGTTCCGCTTTGCTGGCTACACTCCGTTGCCGGTACTTTGCATTGGATCCTAATGACGATTACATGCACAACCGAACATTGTCAATCCAGCCATCGTAGCCAGCTATCGTAGAGTTCATCGATCGGTGACAGTGGCAACAGTACCGAACACACTCAGGTTCGACTTTGCTCGCAGCACTCGGTTACCTCGCATTGGATCCTTATGACAAATACACGCACAACCGAATATTGTCAATCCAGCCATTGTAGCCAGCTGCCGTATAGCTAGTGGCAACAGTACTTGACTTGCGCATACAGGAAAATGGGTACCGACACAGGAATCACCACCAAAACAGTAGGAAATAACAAGAAGGGATGAATCCGGTAGGAGGATCCACTCTCTTGTGTGTTGTTGGCTCCCTCATGTTCCCTTTTCAATGACTTGATGACGATCTCCTCCGTTCAGGCTGCTGATAGGGCTTGAGTTAACATAGCCTCTTCACGGCAGCCTCTTCCTCTTAGCCGGAGCGATCGACCGTCGACAATGGTATTTCCTCGGCCGTCAGCAGTACAGCAGAGAAAACAACAAATAGATATGAGTTTTGTTTTCTGTGCTGAACTGAAGAAAACCAGCGACTTACCCTTGCTTTTCAAATTGCACCAACTTGGCCATCATGGGCTGAGAACTGACTGCCATCCCATGGTCCATAGGATTCAATGAGGGATGGCTTTCGAATCTGCACCGGAGACGACCAGCTTGAGTGAGGCTCGACAATAGAGATAATAGAGGTGCGACCGACCGATCGAATCATTCGAATAATTAAAGAACAACTCACCTGTTGACGGCCGAGCTTGGAATTCTCTCCTGAATACAGTCTACTCGCGCTAATATTACTTATTTAATATTACTTCTCGCTGTTATATTACCTGATTCTTCGGATCCCCCCCCAGTCCCGCATATCCGTGAATGACGAATGACGTCAGTACCCTTGCAAATCTCGTAGCAGCAAAACAATCGCTCGCAATCCATCGCAAACCATCCAACTCGACAGAGACATACATGTAAATGCCAATGCATGCCGATGAGGTGCCAATAAGAGGCCAACCGGAGCCCCGCACCTCTCCTTGCCTGTCCGATTCTCTGCCAGTCCGCGCAAATCTTCGTACGTGGGGTTTTTCATGGTGTTTTCGCGAGATTTGCGCAGAATGGCAGAGAGGAGACAAAAACAATTCTCTCAGCAACAAAACAAGTGCAAGCAAACCATACCAATCCCTCCAATCCGACTTAGACCAACATGAACGGCGCCGTGACAGCTCTATCCATTCGTACTTTACTAGTGGAACCGGCCCTTGAAAAGCCTAATATTACTTCTCTCTATTATATTACCCGAAGTCCGAAATCCCCCCCAAGTAATATTAGAGTGAGTTGACTGTACCATAGAAATTCAACGAGGGAGAGAAGTCAGCGCTGCACCTTCAATTGACGCTTTTGATAATACGTGTACTAGTAGTAGGCTTACCTCATTGCGATCCTCGGATTCTTTCGTAAATCCTTAACCTTAGTAACTTCAACGGTTCCTTTATCCACGAATCGATCTATTTTTATCGAACGAGAACCTGTTACTTATGGATACACACGACCGTTGATTCTGCAACTGAAGTGCGGGTACACTAATTTACACAGTAAACGCGAGCCAATCGATTTCAGAGTGCAACTGAGGGGGTAACCTAAAGGAGCGTCGTCTCATCAGGAGATGTAATATCAGGTTAGCGAACCCTGGTACCGGTATCACTTCGTTCGCTGCGAGCGTGCAATTTGTTGATCCTTCCTCGGAGGTTATTCTTAGCGTTCCAGAGACCTCTACGCGGGAGTTTATTACTGGAAATGTTGAGACACTGTGTGCGTCCTAGTAGTACTGTACCGATTGGAGGCTGGCCTGCTCATGGATCGTGACATCATCACTGGCTGATATGGACTGCACCAAAAGCAATAAAGTTCCGCTTGAAGCATCACCCAAAGCAATAAATATGTAAGCTAAACGACGAATGATGCTTTCATGCGTTGGTCGACCTCCAATAGCAAGAGACTACAATGTAGTCCCGACATGTAGTAGATTGTGATGCCTTCCCACATTCTTGTTTCTGAATGGATTGACTTGGGGGCAAGATGGCTTTCAGAGACTTGCACCATCACTCTTCAAAGGGACTAGTCAGTTGAGTGCATACTAAGTTTGGGCATATGAAGCAGCTTACTGCAAGCGCTACAGACAAGTTGACGTCAATCGACGCCAGTATGATAGTAGAGGGAAGCCACAATCACAGCGAGTTTGGACGCCGGAGCTGCAACCACATACTAGTACAGCGTAGTGTTCAGTGAACATCAAAACAGCAACAAACCAAACCAAATCAAATGAACAAGCACAAGAGACAATGGACTATTTGGCTTCATCTTCGGTCCAAGCAGCCAAATGGTATTGGCTGGTTGATAAATTAAGCGAATCAGCGAAGAAAAGAGCACTTTTAGATGTCGAAATTGACAGGACAACACTTGTTGCAAGCGACACCATCAACATCTTCGTCAACCACTACGCGCAGGCAATTCCTGGAAAGACGTACATCTGCTACGGTGTGTCAGGATGTGGGAAAACAGTTGCTGCCGTGCATCTACTACACGGGGAGGACATTAATTTTGATTGTCCGAAACGAGCTATTATGGTGAATGCGGGCGGAAGTGAAGACTTTCCTACGGACTTTGCTCTGCAACAGAATGCCCCGAACGCCGCCTCTCTCCTTGTCAACATTCTTTGTGCTAGCCTAGTCTTTCAAGAGAAGAAAAAGGATTCTAGAGCAGCTGCCACGAAGATCTGGGAAATGTTCAGTCATCTCCGTCGTTTAGCGGAAGGTTGCGTTACACCTGCCGCGGAAGAACCAAGTATACGTTTACACGACACTGCTCAACTGGCTCAAGTCACCAGAGGTCGTCAAATCGCGACCCGCGCCGACCTTCCCATTTTGATCATTGACGATTTGCCCGAGTCAAAGGCAAACAGAGGATTCGTTAGTGGCCTCTACACTCGAGCACATGCCATGAAGATCTCAGTTCTGATCCTCACGAAGGATGAACGGTGGGCTACCAAAATGAAGGATATTAATGGCGGAGTAAAAGTTCTTCCTGTAGATGGGGCGATAAATAACCCCAGAGGAGACAGTGTCGAGCCCTTTGTACAAGATCCACAGTGGACTGGAATGACTTGGAGGCTCCCAGATCTGCGAGTTTTTGCTGAAACTCTGGGACCCCCCGATATCTCTACAGAACTAATGGATGGGATGACACCAGAGGCAGTTGTCGACTTGCATGTAAGACGACGATTCTAAAAGGTAGCTTGCTCGGTTGAAAAGATTTGGACAAGTTTGGCTGGAAGAACGACATACGACGCCCCTGGCTGACGTATTGCAACAGTGCAATGTACCGGTGACGAATCAAAAACCAATACTCGAATATTGTACTTTTAAAAAGATTGGAATCGAGATCAACTCGGAATCAGACGTCGACGGAACTACAACTTCTTCCTCGGACTCCTCAGCAGAATGCTGGACGGGTTGCTGCTCGTTGTTCCAATAATTCTTCCGAGTTGCTGGCAAAGTACTGTATCGATTTGAGGAGACGGCCGGTGGTGTTGGGGATTCCGGATGGGCCACACGAAAGGACTCAGCATCGTCATCTGGCAGTCCTACTTCACGGAAAACATTTCCATCCAGATCCCCCCAAACGTATCACACAAGCCTACCTCATGAAAGCGGGCATTGTTAAAGATTGGGACAATCCGGATAACCCATTGGTAAAAACACCACCCAAAGACACACCCAATGCTGTCCTTGTCCATTTTGAATTCAATAACTAACAAGTAGACTTTCCAGAGACTGCACTGCATGGACTCGTCACTCTACTAGTACGCGGGAGTTTATTACTGGAAACTACTAGGAGTACAACGCAAGCATACAGTCGTACTAGCTAATACAATAATTTCCGAGCGAGACACAGTACGGACTCGGGTACAGGAGTTACGAACTAAAAACCCCAAGAGGTTTGTGCGCATCTGTGTACCAGTATGTATGTACCGTATGGCATATGTGCATACGGTAGGGTACACGTGCACTGTACGGTATGGTATGCGGGAGCAGAAGGCACAACAGACTTCAACCAAGCAACAGTCATTGGCGATTCAGTGCTTAATCAGTCACCCTTTGCTGACATGGATTCTCATGGTGGAGGGGACAAGGGCGAGTGGTGCGACCCTTTTAATACTGTTTTGTTTGGGCTTCAAGCTGTCAATGCATCGCACTCCTTGTTCCTATACCTCCAAACTGACTGAGACTACTCGACCCCTGATTCTCTGCACGACCTGCCTTTGAATTTTGAAGACCAAGAGGCAGAAGGCATCTAGTTCGGTTATTCGGTTAACCAGAAGGACCAGCAAAGCTGAGTGCATCATTAAGTTTGCCACATCAAAACATCCAAGTTTCATTCCCCAGACTTTGTAAAGAATCATGAGGCTGAAGCGACGAAGAAGAGAACCCAGCATGATGGCCAAGCTGTGGGAAACACTATTTGGGAGCAATAAAGGTGCCAATCGCAGACGCAGTGCTTCATTGCTGATCTTTGTGGTTTCCCTGGTGGGTTCCTTTCAATTTCGTGATTCCATCAAGGAGCAAACCAGTCTACTTGAAGAATTGGACAGGGAGATCACTAGACGGAAGCAGCAAAAAGAAACCAGAAGTCTTGCCTCCATTTCATCCACATCAACAACGCCACTACCAGTATTCACTCCACCACCCCAATATCCTGTAGTGGACATTCTCTCAATTGGTTCCAAACAACGTCCAGACTATTTGGTGGCCCAACGAGAAAGTTTTGCCTCACATGCATCCGTTCGCCATTTCTTCAATGCCACTGAAGCAGACGACCTGGATGATCCACACTGTGACAGTCACTTGACCCCAGAAAATACAGTCCAAATTAGTCGATTTTGCAAGGTCAAACGATTGCACCCGCAGACTCAAGTCATGATGCAGTATGCCCGAAACTTATATGCCAACGGAAACTGGCTGCTGAAAAAGGCCAATCCAGTCGGTTGGATGTGTGCCCAACGGCGACCCATGCATGGATTGTACAAGGTATTTCAACAATACTTTCAGCAACAGAAACTGCTATCGAATGATATAACAATCAACACTCCCACACTGAGCGATTCATTGCCTGATTACTTGATTGTCATGGACGATGACACCTACTTCAATCTGGAACAGTTCCCCATCAAAATGGCCCTGGATGTCCAGGCTACAAAACGTCCACTGGACGACCCCTACGTCTTGGCGGGATGTCTGGTTCGATGGCCCATTCATCACATAAACTTTACCTTTGGATTTGGAGGATATGGCACCGTCTTTAACAAAGCATCCCTGCAAAAGTTGGCCAAACCCATCCATTGCACACAAGACGACAGCAAAGAGGCTTGTGCGCAGGTAAAACGCAACATGGTGGGGGAAGAAAAGTTATTTCGAGAAGGCATGAGTGTCCTGGATCTGATTCATGCCTTTGTCAGCCATGAACCATACAAGGAATTTCCCAAGAACAACTGGACCGATGGATTCTGTATGCACAGTGATTGGTAAGCAACAAGCAAAAGAAGTATTTCGTATGTTTGACTATAGATGACTCATCAACTGACAATTTGCTCTCCTTGGTCATCTTCAGGGTCCTGGGGTACTTTGTCAATTATTACAACATTTCACGCCATACATCCAGTGAATCGTTCTTCGAACATGTGCCCCAAAGCCGCATGGAAGAGTGGGATAAAAGCAGCATTTACCGTCAACCCCAAGGATTCTGCAAGAACGCACACAGGGAAAACTGCAAGCCAGATTCCCTCACCTGCCATTACATGAAACCAGAGGACATGAGAATCTACACCGAAACTGTGAAACAAACTGCAGCACCAGGAATGTTTCGAAGTATTTTCTAGGCACTGGTGGTGGGAAGCAGCTTTGGTGGGTTGGCGTTGATTTTGGCGTACACGCACGTCAATTCACGAATATGATGATGTGATGAGGGTTGGCAGCAACGTCATGCTGGACCCTTCGATACATAAGCATCATTATCTAACTGGCACCTGGGAGCCTTGAGCCACCAGAAAAGGCTAGATAGCTTTGCCACACAAGCGGTTGGCAGACCAGATTCATTCTTAGCATGCTTCAAAGGATGGATACAGCAGCAAGAACGGAAATCTCTGCTCATGGATTTCATGTATCCTAAGCGTCCGCAGCTTTGGTCTCTTGCCACAATCTGCTTCAGTCTCCTCAGCTTAACCCCTCCCTTGGCAGTTGTCCAGTATTTTTATAAAATACAAGCTATCCCTTTATTGTTCTAATCTACTATGTATGCAGCTAGCCGAGTAACACCTACCTACACAGCAAACCAGTCACTTGCACTACTCGCTCTTTCCCTTCTTGGTTTCGAACTAGCTAGTTGAACTATTGCTCTTCTAACAGTTGCAGGTTTCGAAACCTGGCTGGTTGAAAGGGTGCCAAGCTCACGTGGTCCGTGGCGGTCTGACCCGTGGCAATGAGGTGGGCCATGGTTTCTCCCGAAGCCGGTCCCAACAAGATGCCCCAACACGTGTGACCACTGGCCACATAAACGGCGGCGTCGTCCTGTACTTGTCCCATGATGGGCAACCCATCGGGCGTGGAAGGCAGATAACACGCTGCCACTTTTTCGGGCTCGTTATTGTTGGCAAACGACGACGAGGACGATGCGGTTCGCACGGCCGTGACGATGCGATCGGCAGCTTCCGGTCGAACCTCCTCTTGGCCGGGTTGTTCGGTAACGCGTTGGGGTGGATCGGGAAATCCCGTGCAATAGGCGGTGGCGTCGGGTCGAACGTAGACTTCGGGATCACCGCAACCGGCAAAAAAGACGCATTGGTGCAAGACATTGTCGGTTGGGATAATGACACTGTGGTATTTGATGCCCGTCATAATGTTGGCCGTCCAAGGTCCACACGCCAAGAGAACGGTATCTCCCGGGATGAGGGTTCCATCCTCCAATGTGACTCCGACCAAGGATCCGTCGTTCTCGTGTTTGGCAATGGATGTGACCTTGCCTTGTACAAGTTGATTTTTCTTGTTGTTGCTGTCATTGCTAGTCTCCTCGATTTTGGAACAGGCAGATTCCCACAGTGCTACGCACAATTTCTTGGGATGAACTTGGGCAATGGTTTCGGTATCTCCCATCACTTGAAACGACACGACGTTGCCCGCTATTGCATCCTCTTGTTTTGTAGTTGTCGTTGCTGTTGTTTCTTTGGTCGCCCATTCGATATTGTCAAATTTCTTGCCGCGCGGTTTCATTCGTCCCGTCGGATCGACACCAATGGATGCACACATCAATCGACGATAGTCCACGCGAGTAGCGCCGAGTGCATCCGCCAATGTCTGATGGAGGGCAAACGATCGCCGTGCCAATTGTCGGAGGGGCGACATGTCATTCCAATCCAATGCCAAGAAACCTCCCGCTTTGCCCGATGCCGCCGGAGCAATGGTGCCGGTTGGATCGATGACGGTGGAAGCAATGCCGTGATTGTGGGCCAGATAGTACGCCGTGGTGGTCCCAATCACACCGCCACCGGCAATAATCACGTGTTGAGGGGGATTCTTCTTAGTACTACTGCCATCTGATGGTGATGAGGAAGCCATTTTGGTAAGTGTGGTTCTACTGCTTGTAGTAGTTGTAGTAGTGGAGATGGGAGAGAATGCAGCCACTGCTGGAGAGACTCGAGAGCTGTACGAAGAAGACAAGATGGACAGGAAGAGAAAGAGAGAGCTCTGGTACATGTACATCATGCTAAGCTTAGCTTGGGTGTCTTTCGGCAAGGCAACCTTTCTGAACACAATACCTCCACTCTTCAAATAAATGCAATGGGAGCTCTGGTTTTGGCTTGGATCTTTTTTCCTTCGGAAGATGATGTCATGTCAGTCCAAAGATCCTTCATTTTGCTTCGCCCGGGTGGTCTCATGCAAATGGATTGACGCTTTTCAAAGTCTTATGGTAAACGTGAACGCTTAACTCTCTTGTGAGAGACTCAAGAATGACTCAGTCATTGTCAACGGAGTATTGAGGGTCATCACGATCAGTCCTTTATGTGGGCAGGATTAACTTCGTTTGATGCGGTATTGGATCACTAAATCTCTTGGAAACATTTCTTGACTTCCCCTTGCACTTGTGACTGGATTCATTCCGTTCTTCCGGTTCACGAACAATAACTTTTGCCACCACAACTACCCAACAAGCTTCTTGGGCCTGCCCTTATCAGCTGCCACTTTCGCCAGTGTTTTTTGCTTGGCAACCCTTACTTGCTTCATCGACTGTAGAAGTAAGTGTCGCTGCTCACTCAGTCCAGCATCGATCTTGGCTGGCATCGCAAAAAGCAAAACCAAGCAAGCAAAGAGCTGCACCTGCCTGTCATCTGAAGAAGGAGTTGTGAGGACTCGTCAATCGATCCGTCCCCTTGGATACCCCACGCACTATCTTCCTCACATTTCTCCAGCTGGTGACGAAGGAATTCTCATCGATCAGACTCCATTATCTTGTCTTATCTAAGCTTGCCTTCTACCAAGCCCAAGGACCGCTATTGGTATCTCGTTATCAATCGGTACACATTCATCTACTATTCAATTCTACTGCCACTGCCAAGATGGACCGATCATCGTCCCTCCATCATCATCATCATCATCATCATCACCACCGTTTGGGTAGCAGCAACGGCAGCAGTGGCAGTCTGAAGCAAGCCAAGACAGTGTTACCGTTGCACAAGTACAATCGTCAACCATCCGAAGGTTCCCAACGTTCGAATTCGAATTCTCCTCCTTCCTATCGCAACATGACACATCGCTTCAACAGCATCGGAGGGCGTCACAACAACAGCGAAGACAATGTCACCTTGCCCACTTGGTCGGCCAATCCACAATCGCCCGTCGATGATACTTCGCCGGGGGGCAGTGCTCGCAATTCTCCCACTTCCCATCTCCCACTCCTCCACAATTCCTACTTGCATCCTCATCAATATCACGAATGGAGACGACGCTGTTGTTCTTGGACGACGCTCTTTTACAGTATACTCCTAGGAGTCACCATTGCCATTGCACTACAGTCACGGGGATCACTCACCGAAAGCATGGGACACTTGTCACAGCTCATACACAATGGACACATCTTACAGGGGAAACTAGATGATGCCGAAAAGGGAATCAAACTCTTACAGAGAGAAGTATCGGCATACGATGTCATGCGGCAGCATCAAAACCAAAACAACTCCCCACAAAACAGCAATAACAACAAAGCAGCTGCAATAGCTCCAGCACTAGCACAACCCCACAATCAAGCCCTCGAAGAAATGCAACAACTCGATGCCCGTTTGCGGGACAGTCAAACCAAGGCCGAAACACTCAAACGCACCGTCCAAGCATTGTCGAAACGAGAAGCCCTCCAAAAATACGGCAATCACGTGCATCGCGTTGAAATTGAACTCGCATTTCCCGATCCACATCCGCATTATCATCTACACAGCGAGAAAGAAGGACCTACCACATTCATTATCGAATTGGCACCGATCGAACTCATGCCCCATTCCGTTCACTTTTTTCTCGAAATGGTGCATGCGGGATTACTGGATGGCTGTAGTTTTATTCTCAATGCGTTGCACGTCCTCAAAGCGGCACCACTCCCATATGACGGGTCCAGTGCCGCCAACAAGGCACGGGCATTTACGCGCATGGGATTGGAATCGGTCGCCTTTAAGGAGTACGCTCCGTCGTATCCGCACGAACAGTATACGGTGGGTTTCGCCGCCGATGGATCGCCCTCGTTTTACATCAATACCGAAGACAATTCCGAAATTCATTTGGGTGATCCCTGTTTTGGGAAAATCGTGGAAGGATTTGATACCGTCAAACGACTCGAAGCCAGTCCGACACGGAATGGGATTTGGTTTGAACAACGGATTGGAATTCAGCGGGCGACCGTGTTGATGTAACTATATATGACAAGCATGGACGACAACAGGAAACGTCGCTGGCTAGCTATTGCCAGGGTTGATTGGTAAAATGTCATAATAAGGAAGGGGGTTATTCATTTATTTTGACTGGGATCCATCTAACGAACAACCGTATCATACATGTAGTGTCGCGGGAACAATCGTATCACCCATATCATGGAGGGACAGAGAGACAAGCGGTGTGGTGCTCGTGCGCAATCGCTACAGCCGTGGAGTCTGGCTGCGCATTTAGCTTGCAAGCTAGCTAGATTGGAAGGCAAGGCAACACCTTTCTACGTTGCTTCAGCAGGAGCCTCTGGTAGTGTGCATGGTCAGCTACTCCAGTGAAAGACGCACAGACCCAAACTTTTGCTTCAAATGCCGAAAGTGAAAAGGTAACTCGGGGGTCCCGTGCTAGCTACGGGCTGGTTGGTAAACGTTCTAATAAATAAGGAGGGGGGTTATTCATTTTGACTGAGATCGAACAGATCCGACAAACTATTATTTAGATACCATAGATAGCTAGTTTTGTAGGCACAATGAAGACACAAGCTGCGTGGTGCTTGTGCGAAATCGCTAAAAGCCGTGAGTTTTCTTTTGCTCAACTCGATTGCCATCATGGAGTCTGGCTGGCCATCTACTCTAGCTAGCTGACTACTGCGAGCTAGATTGGAAGGCAAGGGTTTCCGCCGTCAACACCATGCCGCAACAACTTTTACAGTCCCCGATACTCCTGCTTCCTGTAACATACCTGTGCTTCGTGCCAGGAAGGAAATTTTCTCAAATGGATATTTTACGGGGAGTCTAGAGTAAGTGGATTCTGGAAGTTGCTTTCTCAGCCATGATTCGATTTCCTATGCATGAACAACCGTTTTCCTAGCTAGCTAGTAATATTGTGTGTGGAGGTTGGTTCTTTAGCAGATTAATGACAGCCTGCCAGGAACAGCATCAAACAGCCGTTGTTGCAGCTGTTTGCTTACAGTATTCAGTACCTCTATCTTTGCTTTCCATAAAGAGTCTCCCTGATACAGCGCTTTTCAACACTCTTTTGTTTGACGCAGACCTCTTCTCTCGTACGGTATCCTACCTGTATCCCAAGTCCACCCCCTCTTGCTACCAGTACGGTAGCTACCGGTAGCCACGAAGATCTAAATCCATCCATTTTGTTGCTCTTTCAAAGGACGGGATCAATAGTCGTGGATACCGGAATCAAATTCAACCTTCATTCTCGTGTCCTGCTGCTCCACCTTTCCTGGCGGTTGCTCTCGATAATGGCATCAAAGAAGGATCGATCCTCCGGCCGTTCCTCTTGGTTGGCCACAAAGTCGTCGCGATACCCTGGATTACAGAATCCCACAACAAAACAGCGATATGTCGTCAAGGAATCGGCTGCCACTGGCTTTCCCGACCGGGGACAGGACTTGTTGATACAGCTACTCGTCTCCATTGCGTGCGTTTCGGATAGCTGATGAGGAAGTGATTTTGATTTGGAGTGCCAGCCGCAGCCACACGGTGCGTTTTGCTGAGGCTTTAAAAATGTTGAATGATACGGTACTCTTCTCATTTACTTTGAGTACCAGTTAAGATTTAATGCACAAGTTCGAAACGGATGCTTCTATGCTACTATGCTACCAAGCAACCGGCTGTGTGGTACCGTACCGGAATCTATTGCATCACTCGAGACAGACAACGCACTCCCCGAAGATGTCTCCACCGACGCCCGCTTGGATTTTAATTGCTGCTTTCTTCCTGGTTCATCCTGCGTCAACGAGCTAGAGTTCGTATCGAAATGCAGCGTCAAACGCGTTCTTGGTTCAAGAGGTCGGCTATGGCTACCGTATGCTACATTGCAGCTACGAAAACGTGATAGGACAAGATTTGATTATTTCAACTATTAGAGTACTGTGCCACAAATCTTAGACATGGACAATGTACGATGGGTTGTACGGTGGTGGCGTCTCCAACGACTCGTCTTCGAGAATTACCGGCAGCATTTGAGGAGGGGCTGATACTTGGGGTATCCATGCATCCGGCTTGCACTCGATCTCGGCTGGATACGGGCTCGTCCCTTCCTCTTCTTTGCTACTACAACAAGTCTTGCAGAGCCATGATGTACAGACACAGAGCAACCCAATACTGATCGTAGCGACGAACACTACCCGAATCGCCGACAGCAAGAATTGTCGGTATTCTTCGCGGGAGTCGTCAAAATCTTGCGGCGATGGTAGAACTGTACGGCTTGTGGGCGAAACTGTGGATGTTTCAGTTGATGGTGTGGTTGTGGGAGAGGTCGTGGCCATGGTTGTTGGTGTCATGGAAGGTGTGGAGGAGATGTCGACAGTCTTCCGATCGCCACAAGGCGCACTGAAGCGCCCTCGGCAACCAGGATCGTTTTCGAGCCCGACGCCACCGCGGAAACTGCCATTGCCGAAAATAGGCTCACACTGGAGCAACAGGAGTGTAACTAGTACCAATAGCTTCATCGTCTTCGAACCTTCTTCCTTTTTTTGTGAGCACGAGATCGATGGCCGCATCTGGTTGCAAAAGTTGTAGTCGTGCACTTTTGAAATAATTCAGAGTTCTTGGGGGTCGCGAAAGGGCTCCCTCCGAGAACGGTCCCCAAATTGACACGATGAAAATCTTGAGGTTTTCAGAGAGGAGGACTGAGCGGAACTGTTTTTCGGGTTCGTTTTGCGTAAGGCAGAAGGAAACTGATGTGAAGTGCTCGTTCCCCTGACCATATCGATAAAGCCGACAGCAACTCGACTTCGATCACGTTGCCCCAATTCAAGCGTTTGAACTGAACCCCTTCCAACGCCTAGTAGCTACTGGCAAGATTTTCGTCAATTCGTGATCATTCAATGCTTCGAAGAGTTGAACAAACGATACCGGCACCTGTACACGTACAAAGATTATTCTTTGCGCACCTCAGACTGGCTTTCGGAGCTGAAAGTAGTGGCCAGTCTAACAGTGACTGTCAACATTTGATCAGGTACGGTTAGGCATCTGGCATGGCAACAACCCAAGCTGTAATCGCTAGAATGTTCCAAAGCAGGGATACTACCGAGTACTTAGCTGACGGTTCTTGGCAAGACAGTTTTTGGAAGCCAAGCTACTAGTAATCATTTTGGAAGCAAAGCTAATCAAAAAGGCAACCACACTTCCATGCAAGCAACAGCAGAACTGCCTTTGACTTGTTTACGCCGACACTTGCATTTGTTTCATTTCTTCTACCGGTCCCTCCGCGTGTTCTTCCTCTTTGGCAAAGTAGCACCGCATGTCATAGGCATCCTCTCCATCTGCATAGTACCCCTTCTCCACATCATGGACTTGATAACTCAGAGTAACACTGTAAAGATGAAAGGCTGCTCGGTTTGACTTTCTCACATGCAAGCTCACGTACTGAGCGCTAAAGACATCTTGCATTTCCTTTTGGGATCTCCGCATGAGTGCCGTGGCAATTCCCCTCTTTCGATGTGTTCTCAGTACCGACAAGGATGTAATGTGTCCTGAAAAATAAAGTTATCAAGTGCATAGAATGAGAAAACAAAAAGCCAATCGACACAGTAGCCTCAATTCAGTCCTACCGTACCAAGACACTCACCATGACGGGGTTGACTGGAGTCTTCCTCCATCTTTGCCAACACATAGCCCACAATTTTTCCATCAAAATCTTCTGCTACCCACAGCAGCTGAGGCCAACTTAATAGATGGTAGAAGTAGTACTTCATCTGCCGATCCATAAAAGAAATAACCAACAAATCTTGCGTTAGCGACATGATAGGACTTGAAACCATCAACAACAAAAAACTAATTTCGCTTTTTCTGCTCACCTGATAATTCTCTGGCAAACACCACAGGTTTGTGGTCTGCATCTGGAGGAGGTCATTGACATTGGCTTGCCTTATGCTGACCATGGTTGCTCAAATAATTTAAATACTCAGACCGACGACTCAATACCAATGGTAGATGTGTTGAATGCCGAAGTGTTTGTGTTGCGGTTGCATTTGTTTGGCCATGGTGGCGGGTTCTTCAGTCTGTCCTTCGAACGGACTTTTGTTGGACTGTTGGGGTCAATTCCTTCTTTGAAAGATATTTCTCGTCCACCCGGGCTGTGGCGTCACTTTGCAATGGTTCTTCCAGCAACTCAAGATCCCATCTGGCGACTTGCGCCACAAAGATCTTGTGCAGTGGTACGGTACACGCACCTGAAGAACACAATCGGAAGCCACAAGAAACCAAAGATACGACCCTCCATCACGTTTATTGTCTTTGACATTGATTATTACAAACTCGTCAATCATGAAGCGCCTTTCCCTCGTTCTCTTCGGCTCCGTAGCACTACCGGTGCTATTCTCTGGGGCTGCCAACGGGTTTCATCTACGACCTCGGGCGACCACAACTGGTCCTGCTGCTGTCGCCGTCACTCTATGGCGAGGAGGATCGTCGGCGCCGTTGACTTCGGCAGCGATTCCGCCCGATGATGCTGCAGATATTACCGAAATCGTAGACGATGAAGATGTCGCGCTCGCACTGTTGGAGCTGGAAGTGAAGGCTGCGGAAAATATCATTGTGATGAATTGGGGATGGATCCTCAACTCTGGTATCTTGAACATTTTGGGTGGCAGCTTGGCACTGATTCTGCCCCTGTCGGGGTCCAGCGTTGCCTACTCAATTGTGGCAGCGACATTAGGTGTCGTTGGTGGGTTTGGCATCGCTGGGAGTACCATCGATACTGTGGAACCCGGCTTTCGGGTTAAATCGTTCCTGTTTGGTGCCCTCAATCTGTTTCTCTGCTACCGCATGTCCAAAAACCCATTCGGATGCCTCAACGTCTTGACGGCCTATATTCTTACCATTTCCATTGCCGAAGGTCTCCACGAGACTGTCTTTGCCGTTCAAAACAAGAAGCTACCCCACCGCAAGTGGAACATTTTGAGCGGACTGTCGTCCATTGCGGTATCGGTCTTTGCCATGATCAAAATGCCAGTGTCGTCGCTGGTCGTTCCAGGAATATGTCTGGGCGTCAATCTCATTAGCCTTGGTACCTCCAAGGTTGGGATTGCTCTGCTCGGTCAAGTTGAGGCCAACCGCCGTATGGGGTTCTTGGGTAACGAATGAGCACAAGGAATGAAATGGCATAGGGCCATGTCCGAAAACTCTAGCAGCTAGAGTGATCTTCAGCTACTGGTATTCAACTTTCCGTAAATGGTTTGTGGCCCGGGGAAAGCGAAAACCTGCTAGTAAAACAAACATGCTCCTGAATTGGGGTTCTTCACCTCGACTGACCTCGTGCCAAGCCACAACCTTAGTCGATGATGTACATGCAATTTGATGATGTCACCCTCCTCATCCAAGCATAGAGGAGATGGTTGCATTGCTTGCTGCCACAATGCAAGAGAAACTGAATCTATTCCAAGCTTGTTCTCGAGGAGCTCGCACAGTGCCCTCCCGTCATTGTGGCGAGCCAGGGACGAAAGACAAGATGGTGAGTTGATAAGGGGCCGGCGAACCAATGGTGAAATGGCTACTCAAAGGGCAGCTGTCCTTCGAGAAGGGATAGAGCTATCCATTGGCGGTAGCTACTGGGTTACTATGTCATCCTGAGAAAAGGTTGGAGTGTCGTTGCATAGGAGGGTGTCAATGCAAGCACAGGTAGGTGAAGACACCACAGTCGACGCCGTTGAGTTGTGTGGGGTTGCAGGGGTGGACTCATAGAGGGACCAATCTAAAAGGGGGGGAGAACTTACTTGTAGGTGTTCATCAGTGAGTGAGTATCGAAGGGCTGTGAGAAACTGAGAGTTGGGTAGTTGGGTGCTCTCCTCTACCGGTGACTGGTACCAGGTACCGGTACCATTCGATTGATTGATTCGATTCATTATTTAAAAGATATTTCTCATCCACCCGGGCGGTGGATTGATCCTTCGTTGGCGCTTCTCTAGAGCCAGCTAGAGTATGGTACCAGGTGGTACAAGATCCCTTTACCGCAAACCAACACACAAACACCTTGGTTGTTACTATCTCCACTATCCACAAGCAAGCAAAAAGCAAGTTAATAACACAATGGTGATCCAGGGCAGGTTCAAATTAGAGCTGGTAACCGCGGAGAATACGGATCATCCATTCAAGGAGCACAGCCGAAACGGAAAACACTATGCCGAAGTAGAACCCGAAGCCGAGTACTTTATCAGGGTGCAAGTTCTGGAAGAAGGTGAATTCCCCGTGATTGCCACTTTTGAAGTGGACGGTGTCGATTTGGGGTATCATGGGCGATTCTTTCAAACTTCCTCTTCCTTAAAGGGTGCTTGGCAGTACAAGAATGGGACATCGGCTCATTCGGCTCTGCGATTCGAAAAGCCTCGATTTAGCGCCAATAATGATCCACAACAACCCGCCAAGCCACCGTCGGCCATGATGGGGACCGTCTCGGTCTACTTTTACAGAGCCGTCTTTTCCCATAAACGCAAGAGACCCGATCACGATCGCAAAGAAATCAGCAATGCTGCGGAATCAGCCTCCAGTGGAAAGGAAACCATTCGATCCGGTCAAGGATCTACATTGCGTACCCAAAGCAATGTGTCCATAGAAGAGGATGTCTATCACAAGGGCGATCTGCTGGAAACCCTGACGCTGAATTATTGTACGGCGGTGGGTCTCGTCAATGCGGGAGTTCTGTGTGGCTGGGAGCACGCTCGAACGGTGGCGCCATTTTCGGAACCCACGGATCCTCAATTGGCCAATATCAAACCCAAAGTTATTGAACGCGATGCCGTCGTAGAAGATGGCGTGACCATTAAAAAGGCGGAGCGAATTGAAGTCTACGATCTGAGTTCTCTTGACGATTAATCATCAAGTATGGTGGGCGACAACAAAATGAATGAATGGCATGTGGGCACAACGGGGGTTTTCTATTGGTTTCCATTTTTTTTTATTTCTGCAATTCACAAGTATATCCATTGGCGTGGTTAGTCAGAGGTGCGGCTCTTTTGGCAAGAATTCGATGCAGTGTTTTTTTTTAAGCAATTCTATGCTACGGTTCAAGGCAAGGTCAAGGATGAGCCAGATTGACTTCCAGAGCCAGCAATATAGCTCAATAAGCTACAGTAGCTAGACAGTGGACCCGTACAACCGTACCGGTAGTTCGAATCGCCCGCAACACTTGGCATACGGTGTCAGGAGACCTTGATTGTGTGAATGTATGGTATGCAAGTGTCTGTCACACTTGTCCTTCCAGTGGACAGCCAAAGATGGTTCTGAACGCAACGATGACCAACGTCACTCGGGGTGAAGATTCAACGAGCATGTCGGGTTCACTAGAAAACTTCAAATCGTGTTCAACGAAAAAAACAGGAACGAGAAAGATACCAATCACATCATAGAACAATTGATATCCAATCTATCTGTTGTAGCAAGATGGTCGTCAAAGGCAAGTTCCAAGTCCAGCTTGTGGAAGCAGTGTCGGAGCAGCCATTCAAGGAACACTCCTTGACAGGCAAACCCGACGAGTGCTTTGCGGAAGTGGAGCCTGGGGCAGAGTACTTCATTCGAGTCCAATATCTGGCTAAGGATGATGATGATTTTTTCGGTTCGGGTTCTGTCTTTGTGGCTGACCTGGAAGTCGATGGGTGTGATCTTGGCTACGAGCTGACAATCGAAGATGACACAGCCCATCTGTGCGGAGGTTGGAAGCACGAGAAAGGTGCATCAACTTCAACGTCCCTTAGATTTGAGAGGCCAAGAATCTCGACATCAGCCGTGGCAGCTGACCAGCTCGAAGTGGCATCGATGCTGGGGCAAGTCGCTGTTTCCTTCTGGAAAGCCAAGCCTAAAAACAAGAAAAAGAAGATTTCTCGTGCTACATGTAAGATAGAATCTGGCAGTCTCAATGCTCGCTCAGAAGGAATTCCCAAAAAGGCTCTTGTACGCTCTGGACAAGGATCGACGTACAGCACAGTCGAGGAATCGTTGCACACTGTTGTCCACTGTTGTCCACGAGCGAGAAGAAACTGCGTTTGAGAGCCTCAGACTCCATTACTGCACTGTTTTGGGCTTGGTGGAGGCTGGAGTGTTCAAAGTCAGCAAGGCAAAGATGTGGGAATGTGCTCGCTTGCGCTTTCCAGTCAAGAAGCAGCCCGAACCATGGCTTCGAAACGTTCAGCCTGAAATGCATTCAAGGGATGCCATCATCAAGGATGGTGTCATTTTCGAGCCAAGCAAGAGATGGGAGCTCTTCGACCTGACCGTGGCTGGCGTTGATTCGAATGACGAAGACTGACTCTGTTGGCCAGGGATAAGAGAGTCGGGACGGTCAAGGTAAATGATCGATCACTTCCACCAAAGGCCACTTTCCGTCAAGACTGCGGCCTATCGGTGGCGTGGGCAACTACGAAGGCGGGAGTGGAAAGCGTTGGTTGTGGGGTTGATAAGGCCGTTTCCCGCCACAAAGATTGGGAGGATTTGATCATCACAACTTACATCGAGTAAGCCTTCTGGTCCCATCCAAAATCGTTTGTTAGGTCAGCACAGTTCATGTTTTAAGAGTTGTAACGGCACATGCATGTACCGCTGAATGCCGGTAGTTGCCAATGCCTTGAATATTTGGAATTCGTATGTTAGGCTGCGCGAGTTTCGAGGCGAGGAGTGCCGAATTGCAAATGCTTTTTGATAGTTGCCACGACCGATCAGTTCCAAGGTGCCGGTAGAGTGATATTAGTTCCCTTTCTTGTCAGAAGAATCAATCAACGCTGCGAGCAACACGGGATCGGTCGGTTGAAGAAACGGATGAGTCACCTTCGTGCAGTGGTACGCCGTACAATCTCGGAGCTACGAGTTTCGTTTTCGAAGTGAACGTTCGGTCCATCATGGTAGTCAAGGGTAGGTTTTCGGTCGAGGTAGTTAACGCAGTCACCAAGATTCCTTTCAAAGAGCACGTCAGCCGCTGTGGCGAACACTACGCGGAGGTGGAGCCGGAAGCTGAGTATTTCCTTCGTGTTGACGTCGGGGGGCAACCTAGAAGGCGGGACAATGAAGAAGTTTACATCGACTTTGAAGTCGATGGCGTCGACCTTGATTACTGCATCTTTATGACTCCCAAAGATGAACCCTACCTGTGTGGTTCCTATGAACAGAGCAATGGACGCGCCATTGACTGTGCCTTACAATTTGTTACACCGCAAAGATCAAAGACGACCTCTGCTAGCTCGTCCCCAGCGGTAGGGAAGGAAGGGACCATATCCGTTTCCTTTCATACAGCAGTCTTTGATGGCATGGAGATTCGAGAAGACTTCAAGTCAACAGAAGTTGCCAGTGCTTGGAGTGGAGCTGGGGCTAGAAAAGTCAAGTCTAATTGCAAGGTCGTTCGCTCCGGTCAGGGCGCTTTTGCCCATGAGTACGAAGTGTCGACAGGGTTGTGCAAGCGTTTCCGCCCTGGAAAACATTTGGAAACAATCTACCTGAAATACTGCACTGCCCTCGGCTTGATCCATGCTGGTATTCTGCCACAACCTCCGATTTGGGAATTGGCTCGTATGAAGGAACGAGCTAAACAACGGGCACTTGATATGACGGCGGATGCCTTTGTAAGCGTTTCGCGGGGATTGGAGTGCAAACTTTATGACCTCACGCAGGACGAGGACGATCATGGTGATGATTGCCTCGAGAACTCTAGTTGGAGGATTCCTCGTAAACCTCGTTTTAGGCGCACGCATCATAGTCTCAACAGGACAGGCAGGTAAGAGCGCGACATGACGTTGCAATAGTACTGATCAAGATCGTTGAGCACGATACCTATACATGACTTTATAATCACATCGCGGCATGGGAACTGACAACGATCAACTCCAGACGCTATTAGATGACTGAAGGATGGAACCAAAACCTGTGATCGCCTGTATCAAGGTAGCAAAACATTCTCCTCTCAACACTAACCCAACCTGTTGACTATGCCTCGATCAGCCTCACTCCACGACTGCCATTCTCGAACTGTGGTTATCTTCTTCATCATCCCCATCTACTTCCTCTGGTTCATCTTCCTCGATCATATTGTTCCTTCGTTTTTGCTTTGGAAATTGGATCAACCGTAGCGATTTGTCCCTATTGTTCGATCTCGGCATGACATGCCCCTGCTTGTCTCGCATGGCGGCCCGAGCCCAATCGGGATCTTCGAATCGTACCAAGTAGGTCGATCGAGGTCCGTGTCCATCGTGCTGCAACGTCCATTGCAAGATGGAAGGAGCCTTGAGTTCGTACGATCCAAAGAGATGGAACAGGTCCATGGCTGCGTCGTAGTGGTCGTCGCCGCAATTTTCAACGCGTACGACCGAATCGTCAATCCAATCCAACGACGACTGGTCCAAATCGCAGTCGTAAAAGACGTGATTGTGACCGAATCCGTTGTCGTTGGAAGGTTTTTCCAATCGCGCTTGCACACATTGTGCATTGTTGGTGTTGTGCTGTGGGGTATTTTCGGTGAATGGTGCAATGGTCAATGGTTTCCAGGTAGATTGTACACACGTTTTGGCATGTTGTTGCAACAAGGCATATGCAATGGATCGATTGGCCAATTGGACTTTCCATCCCGCGGGACGTCCGTAGGAAGACAATATCAAATGAGCCTGTTGGACCCAACGAAACAAATCTTCCTGCACCATTACTTGTTCTTCTTCGTCGTCATCATTGGTTGTTGCGTGATGATGATGATTTGGAAACATGTCTTGGAAATCGAGCAGTTGGGTGGAGTCGTCGACGTGAACAATTCCTCCATGTGTGGCCAAGTGCGCATCCAAAGCTTCATTGATTCCTTCGACCATGCTCTCGAGAGTGGAAATGGGAGAAATGTCTCCCACGTGGATCCATTCCGAAGTGGGTATAGCAATCACAATATCAGTGTTTTCCTTTGACTTTGATTTTCTTCGTTGTCGAGTATTAGCTTTGCCGGACTTTTTCTTCTTCTTTTTCTTGTTCTTCTTTTTGGGCTCTCTTGGTTGTTCTGTGATTATTAGATGCTTGGTGATGTCTTCTTTGGGAAGGAATTTCAAGGGGTTGCTGGGTCTTGGTTTCAATTTGCCCTTTTTTCGTTTGGTAGCCACCAATTTTGGCAAATCTTCTTCATTGACCACATCAGTGTCGACTGTTTCTACTGCTGCTGATGGTGACAAGGGTACAAACGTGCGGTTCTCACGGCCAGTTGCAGACATAGTGGACTGATCATAATGGATGGCCTGATGAATATCCTTGGTGTCTGTAGTGAATCGTCTGATAGAAACTGTACTTGAAGGAGTACATGGCTGAGTCTGATAAAGGTTGGATGGGGCTTGTTTACTATGGAATCCACTGGATATCACTGCTCTTCCAACAATGGCCTGATCAGGACTTCGCAGATACTGACCAGCACTGCTACTTCTTCCTCTAACTCGGACTTGAAGTGCTAGTAGAGTCCTCTTCATATATATACGTTGTTGAGACAACATGTCGTCTTCGAGTCTCTTGTATCTATGACGAGGTTTGGTCGAGGGTTTGTCTTTTTAGCTGGTACGGTCTCGTCTGCCATGGTTGGGTGGTTGTCGTCGTTGAGATCTTTTGAGACCAAACTGGAACCTTCTTTGAGACTCCAAAGGACGCTCAGTGTCTTTTTTAACAAAGATTTTCTCGTTTGCAATTGAGTCTTCTTCCTCAGAATTCTGCTTCTGCCGAGAAGGAACTGATGGTGTTACATCATCTCAAGTTTCAGTATCACTTTGCCTCAACCATCTTGGGCCAGAGAAGCCAAGCAAGGGGGTACCCAAACAGGAAGAAGATACTCTGCGTCTCTCTTGCCAAGAGAAGGAAGATCATAAAATTCATTCATTCATCAGGACAACTTTTACCCTACCGAAACTTTGGACAACCAGAAAATTCGCCCAAGTCATCATCCTCATGACGCGAGAAAGTCTCCCGCTTGTTTTTGCTGCAGGTGCAGTCTCTGCTGCCATTGCCACAGTTTTCGCATACCGATGGAAACTCAACTCCTCTGAAACAGAGTGCGTAGAAATGGTGTTTTTGCTTTCTGCCATGAAGTAAGCCAGTTTTCACTCACACTGTCACATCCTTGTCTTCTTTGGTTTGTTTCTTTGGTTCTATTTTTGTTTCTCCAGATTAATTATCAATTTGCCACAATGGCTCGTTTCATTGTACAATACCAACAAGGACAGAGAATTCTCTACCGATGATGAAATGATTTCCATGGCCGTGGCAATAGCCTCTCAAAATGTGTCGGAAGGTTCGGGTGGCCCCTTTGGGTGTGCCATTTTTGAACGCGACATTCAAACTGGCAAGGCAACGATATTCTCAGTAGGAGCCAACCGTGTGGTCCCATTGACCAATTCCACATTACATGCGGAAATGATTGCCATTCAATTTGCACAAAAGAAACTCAAAAACTTTTCCATGAAGGGAGCCAAAGAGGGGAAGGAGTATGTGTTGTGCACTAGTTGCGAACCTTGTTGCATGTGTCTGGGAGGAACCATGTGGTCTGGTGTTTCCGAGTTGATTTGCTCTGCTGCCAAGGATGATGCCGAAAAGATTGGTTTTATTGAGGGTCCAGTCTTTCCCGAATCATACAAACAGTTGGAAGAAATGGGCATGAAGGTCAAGAGAGAAGTCAAGCGAAAGGAAGGGGCAGCTGTTCTAGAAAAGTATGGTCAAACGGGTGTCATTTACAATGGCTAGTAGACTAACCCCAACAATAAAGGCTCCAAGAAGAGCAGACGACAACCTCAACCCACACTTTTGACAAGAAGGCATAGAAATCATGCCAAATTGTGTTGATTGTTTAAAATTAAATAAGGAACAATGCATGTACAGAGTTAAAACTAGCAGTGCAGTTTGATTCTTCTCCAACGCGATCTTTCTTGCTTTGTAGCTTTGTAGTGTTTCTCTTTTCAAATCCCTACATCTGTGTAGCTGGCTACCAGTAGGCATTTCTCTCCTCGAAAGAAGGAAGAGGTGCAAGCACATGCTTTGCTTCGAGAGGAGTTCAAGAATCCATTCAAAGGATGTCCTTTAACATGTTGCTTGCCATCCATCATGTGATACAAAAAACATATTTGAGAGCACTACTGGTATCAAGAGCTTCTGCCGAGCTACAGCTGTAGCAAGCACCTCCGACAACCATACCGTACCATGGCTGCCCATCAATTCACCCAATCTTCCAAGCTCTTCAGACTGAGGGTTGAAAAAGTGAGCGTAATTAAGACAACTATCTTTCTTGCAATGTGCTTCCCTTTCCACACTAAATCATAAAATGTCTACTGGTTTATTCTGATGACCTTTAGATGTTGTCACTGTCTCATTTGTGTAGTCAACAATCCTGGACGCTTGTAAGAATCTTGTGTGAAGGAACGACCCTCGCATCAAGAAAGACTGATCCAGGTTGGTCAAATAAATTCAGTCTTACTTCCCCTCCCAAAAAGCACAACCAGCAACAACGAAGGCAACACACACAACACAAACGCAACGACACAAAGCAGAGCAGAGCCATTTGACGAAACCTGTCCTCTCAAGCACAGCCCATCCGCAGCAACATCTTTACATTGGTTGGGAGCAGTAAAGTCAATCAATCGGCTGAGCCAGCTAGCTAGTTCATCACGCTGCCTATCTTTCCGTCTTGAGTGAGATTTCCGCATCGCTTCTGGCAACGGCTATAAAAGAACAACAACAATACGAAGATGACACTAAAGCGACAATCCTCATACTCGTCGTCATGGCTGTTCTTGCTGGTAACACTAGTAGCGTCAGTAGCCAATGCGATGGACACACCGTCATCAACCTCTTCTGTCGCCATGACAGCCATGGCGCATCAATCATCCAGTCAAGTTGAAGTATTTGACCAATCATCAACTCCAGAATCACGACGACAACGACCCGTGTACCCAGAGTTTGTGTCTCCTGTCACCGGCAGTCGGCTGCATTGGACCAACAGCAGCCATCCTCCTCTGGGTGGTCTCTTTTACTCCAATCACTCCACGACTGGAAGAAGTAGTGCTAGTAGTCGTAGTAGTAATGGCAGAAGCCTGGCCGAAGGTGACTTTGCCTCGTTGATTGCCATATTGGACGGAGCCACCATTGACATTCCAGGAGAGTTTGAACACGATTTGGGCAATGTCGATCCCTTGAATCTTGTCGGGTTCTTCACCGGAGATCGTCTCGAGAACAAGCTCCAAGTCAAGAACATTCAATGTCGTCAACTCATGTTGGGCGATTTGGTCTTTGACGTGAAAGCGCCTTTGATTGTCGACCAAGTGCGTACCATTCCCATTACACTGACCGTCGTCGATTTGGATTTTGACTGCGAAGCCGACTATCATTACACACTCTCCAATACCGATGGACGATTCTTTCTCTACTCTCGCGGATCCGATGTCCACATTGACATGACCATCACCACGGCCAAGACTTCTCCCAGAGACATGGCCGCTCAAGTGCTCGACTGTGTCCCCAATGTCGTCATTTCCGACATTGACGTCTCGACCGATTCCTTCCTGGGGAAAATATTGAATGCCGTTGAAGCCGTCATTCGAGGACCCGTTCGCGATGCTCTCAATGGCGTCGTGTGCGACGAACTGCGCTCTGTGGGAACCACCACTCTACCCGATCTGTTGCAACAATCCGATGACATTATCGAACCCTATCTACAGCCCGTTCCCAACAAACTACTCAATCCACTTTACGAAGAAGAGCAACTGCTGAAACAGCAAGCCGCAACCGCGAATAGTTTGACCGGAAGTCTCTTTAACGCCGGCCAATTCATGAACTTTTTGTCTTCCGCGAACAGTCAAAACGATGCCACTGATTTGGCCCATTTTCTCTTGTCGGCACTGGATGAAATCGATGCGTGGTTGGGCGGTTCCGTGACACTCGACAACGGGCAGTCCGATTTGGGCATTAACATGCTCCTCCGCGACACAATTTTGGATGCCAACGGGGCCATGGCATTGGACATGACCCGTGGCAATGTTGTGACGGCCATTGGGACGCCCACGGACAGTGCCGTGGCGGTGGCCAATCCCGGCAAAGGCATGACACTCGTGAAAACACATGACAAATTGTTGGAACTATCGCTGTCGCTCGATAAAATCACACTGTTTGGGTTGGATTCCATGACTCGATTTGATATGCTCCAACGGATTGGACAACACACGTTGCAAACGCAATTGGCATGGGAGTTCTTTCAAGGGGTGGCCGATCTGAGTCTTGTCTTGAAACCGTCCACGTTGGAGGATACCTTGTGGTCCGACGTGCCCGCCAATCGACAGTTGGTCGAACAGATACAACTGACCATGACTGCAAAAGAAATATCTTCCATGATTACCATCTTTCTCGCCATTCATCAAACCAAATTGGGACAATTGCCACTTGGTGGATTGATGCACTCCACCAATATATTGAAGTGTACATTTGCCACGGTCTATCAAGGTGGCAATCTCGTGGCGGGGCTCAATGTCAACGTCGGGGATTTGGTTGTTCCCACCTTTCAAGGATTCTCCTCGCCCGGATTGAATCGCGTCTTGACCGAAGCCATGGAATTGTTGTTTGAACTCTACGAACGATGGATGCTCCAGGCGCTGCCGCATCTCACACAGACCAAATTACGTGCGCAACTGAATGATCTCTGGAACGATTTCTTGACCAGTCTGGGAATTACTTCCGGTGTTGATATGGAACAAGCCTGTCGTGTGCCACAGGAGGTCACGGGCATGGTCGATTTTCGAGATTTCTTCTTGACGCCCGACAAAGCCAAGGAATTGGGTGGAACGGGATTGGAACCCTACGGGGATATCGTCCCCTTGTTGTTTGAATTGCTGCACGAACAATTGTTGGTCCCCAATGAGAATGACCCGGACAAACGATTGCAGTTGAACAACTTGTTGTTGGACCCACTGACAAAAGCGCAATCGGGAACTCCGGGAATGCTGCATTTTCCGTCCGATCTGGTCAGCTTGGTCGTCAACAAGACAGAAGCTCTTGCGTCCTCCAATAACAATGTCATGTCCGAGATCGCGGCATCTTTGTTTGAGTATTTTGAACTGCGTCTCTACGATACCAAGGTTCGCAATATCAATACCATTGTGGATGCCCATGTCTTGAAACCAAGCAGCGAAAGTCCACATTTATTGCAAAACAAAGTGCAGTTTGGTCCCATTGCCGGACGGCCCTTGAATGCCTCTGTGAGGGTGCTGATGAGTGTGCATCAACCTTCTTCCGGCAACGCCACTGGCACAAGTGTTCGTCGTAACTTGGTGGACAAGGAAGATCACATTATGGATATCAGTCTCTCGGCCATGTCGCTAGAATTGGTGGCAGACTTGATGGCCATGGTGGATGCCAAAGCCCTCATGAACTTTCAATTGCAGGATATTGCCGATCCCTACTGTTGGCTGGCTACCATGCCAGCACCCGCCTTGACGTCCGATGGAAAGATCTTGCCCGGTTCCAACAATGCCGAATCGAATCTCGGCATGAAGTTGGAAGCCTTTTTGGCCGATTTCGAAAAATTCGCCTTGGACCTGAATTGTGTCAACGAAGCATGCGCCCAGGGCAGTCTGGGGGCCCTCCAAGAGCTCAGCAAAATTTGGCAACAAAACAACGTTACGGCTCACTTGGCCGAACGATACCAAGCTTTTGCCACTGAACTCTTGACGGGCGACTACGCCCACAATCGCATGGCACGATGGTTGGACGAAGCTCCCGGCAAATGTTTGCATAGGGAGGAATACAGCCCCTTGCAGTCGCCGTACCCTCCGTTGGAGCTTCCTGTCTTTTCACTCGAGGCCATGGATACCATGTTGTTCTCGGCTCTGACCGCAACGCAAGCTGGATTCTTGGCACTATCGGGTGGAAACGGCGAATCCCTCTTTGCGGGAATTACCGTGCCATCCATTCAACCAAGAGCCAATCTCTCAGACCCCACCAAACGATACATGGACTTTACGGACAATGAATATGGGACGGGTAGCTTGGGTGAACTCATTTCGTACCTCTTGAGTCAAGCCAATGTGCTACTGGGGGTGAACCCAAATAATGACAGTCCTGCATCAACAAACGGGACAACATCAGGCAGTGACAGTGGAATCAATGGCATTGTAAAGGATATGCTCAGCGGTGAAGATGTGCTCGAGGTTCAGTTTCAAGACGCTACTCTCGTTGGATCGTCCAATCTTCAGCTTCGATTGAATTCCCTGCGTGTGGTCGGGCTTGATACGTTTACTCATTTCAATATCTTTGATGCTGTGGAGCCCCATCTGCTTCACAACAGTCTTCGGTTGGATAAGCTCTCGGCCGAGATTGATCTGAGCATCGTGTCCGCTTCGGACAGTGACAGCAACGAACAGCGACTCGTCTTGTCCATGACAGCGCAAGACATTGATGCGTTCCTTCCAGTCTTTGTGGCCATTGACATTGACAAGCTCGATGCCATTCAGCTAGGATCGCTGCTGGACATCAAGAACATCCTGCCGTGTATCTTGACTGCAGTGGAAGACATCCACGTGCCTGCGATGAAACTTTCGATTGGTTCTGTGTCTGATCTAATGGTGAAGGGTCTCCTGCCGGCATCGAATGCTGCCTTTGAGACGTCATCCGCTGCCATTGCCGATGCATTTGGAGCGATCGACTTCGATGAATTCCTCGGACCACTAGTCCAGGGTGTCATCAATGGCATGATTCGTTCCTACGTGAAAGATGCGAGCTGTACGAACATTATGCAGTCGTATATTTCATCGGCCAGGAGAAGAACCCAAAAAGACGAACCGTCTTTCATCGATTTTCGAGACCTTTTCCTGAGCACCACTCTGGCCAAAGACTACGGTGGAAGCGGCGAGTCGCCCTACGGTGACCTGTTCCGGACAGCACTCGCCTTTGTCGAAGATCTGATTCTGGACGTGGATCCTGCCACCAAGTTGTCATCGGTGAACGAACTGCTGATTGCTCCCTTGACAGAAGCGGTCTCGAAGGAACGGGGAAGCTTGATCATGTCCGATACGCTTGTTGACGTGAAGAATAGGGTGAACGTTGGAGGCCTTGATGCCATGTTCACGTTCCGGGCGTCAGATGCGAAAATCCAAAACTTGGATACAATGGGCGCACCCATTGACCTTCTGGCCCCCGTTGCGCAGGAAACGAATCTATTGAACAACACAGCAAGCATTGGTGTTGTGAACGATCGCCCGCTCAGAGCCAGCATTCGGCTGCTTCTGGGACTTGAAGGCGATGGTAAGTTACAGCAAGACAGCAGCGGCCTCGCAGTGGGCTCAGATTTAGATGCTAACTCTGCTTTGTCCTCAATTTCTGCGTTCTCAGAAAACACGCAACTTCGCAACGACCTGGAGCTAACAATGGACCTACATACAGCCACTCTCGTCCTCACTGCTCTGCTCAAGGTCGCCGCAAACGAATTCGCAGAATTTCCCATCGGTGATATTCTAAATTCCGATTGCTGGTTGGCAAAAATGCCCGCACCTTCACTTGATAAGTACGGGTTCCGGGCTGAGAATGCGGAACCCTCTGCTGCAGTGTCAGAGATTGAAGCAGCTCTGTCAAAAATGAACCTCAGAGCCGACTGCTACTCTTGTACAAGTCCTGGCCTCCGAGATTTCGACACAGAGGGATCAAAAGATATTGACAAGGTCGCGAACCGTGTTTTCGACTATGCTGCGGATGTGCTTGGTGGCAGGTTCTTGCAAACCCAAATTGATCGGGCCTTGAACCATGCTGCGAAGCGATGTCCTCATGATTCGGACTATGAACCAAATTTTGTACTTCCCAAGTACGAAACCTTTGAGCAGGAACCCGAAACATCGTCTACAACCGTTCTCCTGATGATCTTGATTGCGACGGCAATTACAATTGCTGTCCTCGCTCTCATTGTCTTGGCTCGACTTTGCTTTGTTCGAGCAAGGCACCGACGGCTGCTCAAGTCGCTGCCGGACAGACAGCTGTATTTGCTTCAAAAAGAACAGGAGAGCGAAGACAAGCGCGAAAGGGAGCTAAATGCTGTGACAAGCTCACTGTTTGCAAGCACTGCGACAATTCCAGCGTTCGTTCGCTTCGTGGTGCCTGTGGTTATCCTGGGAAACATCGGATTCTTTCTCAGTGGACATCTCAGCCTTGGAGCGACGGTGAACATCCATGTGCAGCTTGCAGGACAGGTCATCCGCATTGACGAGTTCTTTTCTTTCAGCATGGTGCAGAGCACCATCGACATTTGGAATGCCGGTGGCAAAGCTCTTGCGGCCCTCATTTTTATTTTTTCTGGGATTTGGCCATACACCAAGTCGGTCATGACGCTAATGTTGTGGTTCTTGCCTCCTTCAACTGTGTCAATGACAACACGTGGATCAGTTTTGATCTGGCTAGACACTTTGGCAAAATGGTCTATGATTGACATCTTCGTTTTGTTGGTCAGCATTGCTGGCTTCAGGTGAGTTTGACTTTGGATGCGCGGATTGTCTGTAATAGTCTTACAGTAGCTCTAACCTTGCTCTTGCGTCACCACTGCCTTCCTTGCACAGAGTCTCCATTGTCAGCCCGAACCTTGATTTCCTCCCAGAGGACTTTTATGCGGTCGACCTGTTGGTCGTTCCTGCATGGGGTTTGTATGCAAACATGATTGCTCAGCTCATTTCCCAAGTTAGCTCTCATGTCGTTATCTACTACCATCGTCGCGTTGTCAACCAAGCGACCCTTGCCCGACGAGCTCTGTTCCGCAAGACTTCACGCTTGCTGGAAAACGATGAAGAGAATGTAACCGATGGCTTCTTGGACGACCGAGAACAAGTATCTTTGGCCGCAAGTTTCGAAGACGAGAATTCTCAAGACGCACAACGCCGAGATCGTCTCTGTTCGCACGCGTTTGTCCGGCCACACAGCAACAACGCCAGGCTGGTTCCTCGTGGATTCGTGAATCCCTTCTTGGTCCTTTTGGGCATTGCTCTCTCGGTTTTGGTTATCGTTGGGTGTATTCTTCCCTCTTATAGTTTGGAGGTTCTTGGTATTCTTGGAGTCCTGGTGGAGTCTGGAAACCGATGGGAACAGGCCGTGCAGAAGCACAGTGTGTTGAGCACGACAAAGATGCTCATGGACCAAGCTGCCTTTTTGGGTGGCGCTGGGAACTACTTGGGTCTTGGAACGTTGTCCACATTGCTGGTTGTGACAGTCTTGATCGTTCCATTGACCCAGACCTTTGTTTTGCTAGTCCATTGGTTTGCCCCCATGACACGAAAAGCCCGGAGCAGGATGGAGAACTTCCTTGAAGGACTTCAAGCTTGGCAGTATGTGGAAGTCTACATAATTGCCACGGTTGTGGCAACCTGGCAGCTCGGGCCCATCAGCCAGTTCATGATCAATGCTTACTGCGGGAGTCTCGACAGTACTTTTGACATGATGGTGTACTACGGCATCTTGAACGAAGAGGATGCTCAATGTTTCCAAGTGGAGGCCGGCATTGAAAGCGCTGCTTACATCCTTGTCGCTAGTGCTGTGTTGTTGGCTGTGCTCAACACCTACATTGGCAACGCATCCCGTCAGTATTTCCGAGACATCGACAACAAGTCCAAGAAAGAGACATTCGCGGTGCCCAAGAATCTGTCAGCAACACTAAACCATGATGAAGACAGCAGCTCGGGTCCGGGCCAAAGTGTCTCGCTCAGTGGTGGACGCAGACCTGGCCTGGAGAGCCGTGGAAACAGCTTCAACGACGAAGGACAATCACTATTGGAAGCAGATCCACTAGCACCGCCCTCCACGAATCTGCAAGAAGAAAACGCGAAACGATCTGATCCTCTGGCACCACCAGAAGACGACGGCAACACGCCCAGCTGGCGGCGAGGAGACGCACTCAAAAAGATCCATCCAGTCCCAGTACTCTTTTCGGACAAGTTCCGCTGGACGCTTGTGCAAAGCGTTCACGATACAGTTGCGTCTGACACTAGCAACGGTGATCCATCTATGGCCAACATCAATGACAGCACTGACTCTCCCAGCGAAGAGGAGGCTCGGTCATTGTTGAAGGGCGATTTTCCTGATCCAGTCCCCAGCGCAGCACCTTCCAGCCGCGACGACAACAGTCTTAAAGATGGTTTTGAAGAAGTCGAGCTGGGCGAAATGGAATACGGGCAGATGGAATACGTGGAGAATGACGACAGCGACGACGACGAGGACTTCAAGTTCAAGGACGAAGTCGTCAAGGTCAGTGACCTCGATGAGGGATGGGAAAGTGAAAGTGATGACGGCGTGCACGATGCGGTCTCAGAAATGGGCAACACCCATGCCATGAGCATCGACGACACGACCAACCACGAATCGACAGCGTTCAGCCTGAACACCAGTCCAAGCGACGATGTTCAGAGTAGTGCATATGGAACCCACCGAGACGAGTCCAATGATTCGGTCTTGTTGGATTCGAACACGGACGATGCCTTTTCCGCTGTTTCCGATGACCCAGGCATTCCCCAGCTTCGGTCGGAACTTGCCGACTTCGACCGTCAAATTTCGAACGACCCCGACGAACTGGACAGACGATTGGCTGGGGGCCATGATGTAGATGACGATGGTGCCACGCAACCCAGCTCAGTGTTTGTTCAAGATGATACCACAGCGCGAGAAAGCAATAGATTCGAAGACGAGGTGCAAACTGCCAACGACAGTAGCGAAGGTGATTACAGCTTTGAGACGGCTACTAATACTGGAACTGAAGAAGAGATTGTTGTGCAGACCGTGGATGATCCTCAGCCGATCAGGCTGCAGCCAAGAAGGGCTTCAGGCTTTCCCGACAACAACTTTCGAGGATCCATTAACCAGGGCGGCCAGGGCAACAGCAAACTTCAGGATGCTTTCATGTCCTAAAACAGCCAAACAGCCTGGGCCAAACAAAACGAAAGGGGGAGGCTCAAAACAACAGTAGTAATAAAGCATACATAGATAATTCTGCATTTGACAACGAATGTTGGCATTCCCCTGTGGCATGTGGCATGTCCTCTGGACTGGGGCCCAAGAGACGCGGGATGCTGGTTTCGGGGATAGGGTATGATACGATCAGTCGGTCCTCAGTTCGTGGTTGATCCCACAGAACCGACTAGCCGGACTATGAATAGCCACTGTGGACAGGCCCCAATCGGGCCTCGTCTTTGGAGGGTGCGCCTGGATGCCAGCCTCCACAGAGCTAGCTACCGGTAGCTAGTAGTACTGGTACCAGGTACCAACTTACGAGTACTTCCATCAGTCAGGGGTAATGCTGCCCGGGTGGTCGAGCCGCACCGTACCGTACCGAACCGCTACGAGCAATTGTACCACTATTACATGTAGTACTGTATTTTTACTCTGATATCGTACTACTAGTATTTACTATTTCAACCCCAGGTAATAAAATGTACTGTAAACCTTTACTTTACGTACAAAAGCATTTTTGGAAAACTGAGATTACAAAAAATTAAAACATTGCGGATCTTTGGATCTTTGTGGATCTTTGGCATAAATCTCCCGCGCAAATTCGGAAAGTGATGTCACGAACAAAGCCACGGCGGCAATCTCCTACCAATGCTACCATCGCATTGGCGTTGTGGCCAGACTCGACTCAAAAAGATCCAAGGCAGCTGCTTCGTGCAAATACCAGACTGGTCCCTACCAGCTTCCCTACCTCCTCACTAAATTTCCCAAAGTCACAAAGGCAGACTCCGACTATTTTATTTTAGAACCCAAAAAGAAAAAGGACAAAGAAGATGATGACGATTCAAAAGCTTGCCTTGCTGGCCCTCGCTTTGGTTGGCACTGTTAATGCCCAAGGAGATGCTGACCCCACTGGAGAATTGGCAATTGAAGGTTTGTTGGACGGTAATGCCTCCTTGCCAGAGTTCCCCGACTTCCCCTGCGAAGCCGAGTCTGTGGCCTTGGAAACTTGCATTAATACCAACAACTGCAATCAAACCTGTGCCGACCTTCTCTCCGATGACGAAATGGCGACCGACGCGCCCGCGGAAGATCCGTTGGACGGCATGGACCCCACGGACCTCGATGGCATCAAAATGCAAATCAGCCAGGCGTGGACTGACTCGTGCAACGAAAACAAGCAGGAAGCTTGCGACCTCAAGGCGTGCTGTGCACCCTGTGCGGTAGAAATTGATACTACCCTTGGTTGCCTTACCACTGCATTCATTGTTCCCATCAAGGATGGCGTCTCTCAATTGTTGTCATCTGCTGGTGACATTGTCGGTGGACTCTTGGATGCCGCGAATAACCTTGCGGGTGACGTCTTGAACACCACCTTGGCTCCTACCACGGGAGCCGGAGCCGCCGCGACCGAAGGCGGATTGGGCGATTTCTTTGATTCCTTGGTCTGCGATTATTCCAATAACCCGTGCGATGGGTCTATGCCCCCTCCCGATACCCCTGGCGATGGCCCTGCTCCTGCTGATGGATCCACCCCGGTTCCCGCCCCTGCCGATGGAGCCGCCCCTGCTCCAGCACCTGCAGGAGACGCAACTGAAGCTCCTGCCTCGGGAGCCACCAGTCTTATCGAGGGTGTTACGACACTTTTCGCTGCTGTGGTTGGAATGATGTTGATTTAATAAGTTTGAGAGCGTTGGGACTGATTGGGTGGTTGAACGAATGGATGTGAAATTGTTTTTGGATGGAAATTAATTATTGTTTGGTATTTTTGCGGAGTACTGATGGTTAAGTCAGGAGATGAGAATAGGCATCGAGTACGCTGTTGTGTGCTAATAAGTCCCCGAAGGCTACAAGGAAGTGAACGATGGAGAAGAGATGGGAAAACTGAAGATCAAAATTCTAGTATGTTTTATTTCTAGCTAGTTTGTGTTGCAATAGTTTCCTTTGATGAAAATGACAAGGACCTACCACGCTCTTTTCGTCCTCATCGATTAATCAAATCGAGGTACTGCTTGTACCCCAGATGCTTCCACATATTAGGGAACCGTGGTCTCCGACATGCTTTGGCTAGCGAGCACAGCGGCAGCGGAGGATTTTGTGCCACGTTGAGCTCATGATGGCCTCGCATTTATGTCGAAGCAACAAGCCTTGCAGACACCGGCAGCACTTCCCCTTGTACCGGTATGCGGAGCAAGAAACACCAGTCAGCTCGACTCTATGCTGCGCCAAGACTCCTGCCGCCCACGTGGAGATTTGTTCGGAGTAAGGGCTTGGTTAAAATGGAGCTCGTGGTGGGATGGCATTGGTTGGTTGGAATATTGTCTCAGACGGAGAGGAGATCGTATCCAAAAGGAAGGCAATCATCTAACAAAGGGGCTGATCAGATCCGCAAGGAAGCTATCCAGAATTTGGGCCTCGGGAACACGGAAAACAGCATCACAAAGAGTCCCCTCTACTTGCTCAGGTTTCACTACGGATTGCTGCTTCCCGTCTCCTCTGTTGCTGTCTTGTTGTGCACAAACGTCAACTTCTGCTTCTTTGGGAATACTTGCGTCATCTTTGGCAACAGTGACGGCAGAACTGCTGACCTCACCTGGAAGCTGTTGGTTGTTGTTCGTGTCTTTGGTAGATTCTGCCGTGGTAGGGACCTTGTCGAGTGGAACACCACCGAGGCTCGTGTGTGTTGGTGCCGACTTTTCTGGCAGGCATGCGTCTTGCTGACTTTGCGGTACTCCTGCGGGACATGCATCTGGCGATGGTCCACGAGAATCACTACGGGCTTGTGCTCCTCGCCAGGCACAGGCATCCTCGCCGCCCTTCTGCAACTCTGCAGCACTGCTCGTCTCACATGAAGGCTGGCGAATTGTGCTTCTTTCACCTGGAGAATCTGAATGGACAGGTGGGGCTACAACAGGGACAACTGTACTGTACGAAGCTGTACGTGTACCGGTAGGTGGAACAATTCGGCAAGGCTCAGAGGGAGTCTCAACTTGCTCAACTGTAGGAGTACATCCATTGTGGTCGAAACTCGCACTCAAACTCGCACTCACACTCGCATCGCTAGAAGATTCACAATCGTCGTCAATCGGAAGATGCTCTTCTTCGCAGCCTTCGTTGCTACCAGATTCACCACCTTCATCTATTGGAACATCTTCTTCTTCCCAGCAGTCAAAGAAAACCTCTGCGTCCTCATTCGGTTCTTCCCGAGTTATTGCTGGAGGCATACCTTGTACATTGGCGGCTTCCAAAGCCGAATCTACCCATGTACCAAGATTCCTGTTCCGCTCATTCCGGCCAATCACTGTTTCTCCGTTTCGTGGCGGAGGATGTTGGAGGGCTGATTGTGGAATTGAAAAGTCACTTGGAGCAACCAAGGTTTCCGGAGGCATCGGGTGGGTTGTCGATTGCTGGTCTCCACGAGCGGATTGTTTTCTTTCACGTCGTGTTGGAGGCTGATTTGGCTGGAGATTGCTGTTGTCGAAGGACGATTGCCGCGGATGGGTGGCTGTGTCATTTGGAATGGTCCCAATGTTGCCGCGTGGTGGCATTGTAGAGCTTCTATCTGGCTGCCGTTGGCCCCTATTACTAGCTGCTGTTCTCCTTTGACGTCTCCTTGTGGAAGGCGGGTCTCTTGGAATGTCACGTGCATTAATGGTGACATCCACCGGAGGTGACTGCGCGGTTGCATTTTCAGGCGGGCATTCCTCCCAATCGTCCGAATTGTCGTCCTCGTCACCCCACCCTGGAGGACCATTGTCGTTTTGTTCCGAACGACCGCCTTCTGCATGGTCGATACTGCCACTATCCATATCGCTGCCATTGTCGTCTCTTTCATGTATACTATCAAAGTCATCATCACGATGGTTGTTGTCTTCATTATTGAAATCATCATCCAATGACGGATCATAGTACGGTTGATCATCTCCATCATAACAACCGTAGTCCTCTTCGGCCTGATTCCAGTAGTACTGAACGAGACCATAGATTGCCGTGTGCAAACTAAAGAACATCATGGTACCCACGAAATACCATGTGTAGAACCATTCCTTGAGTACCTCCTGAAAGGCATTGAGTTCTTTGCCAATCCTTACTTCTCCTCGAATGACTTCTATTGGCCTTGTTGTTGGTGTGGCCGATTGGTCGTTGATTGTTGTTGTTGTTGTGGTTGCCACAGAATAGGGTTTGGATGCCTGCGGCTGACTGACCAGCCGAACTACTACATGACGCTAATGCATGAATGAACAGCCAATGGTGAGACCAGAGCCAGACGTATACGACCGACTACTATTCCATTGAACACACAAACAAACGTTGATACACACATACCAATGGATAGTTTTGACTTTCGACAATATGCCGAAAGGAGGGAATGACAATGCTCCGACTCTCTGGAACACCGCCAAAAATGATTGGCAGCAACCACACCAATTTGCGCGCCACGGCAACCCAGCCACTTTCATGCGGCAATCGAGCGGGTCGTACCGACGACGCCAATCGCAACGTGGTCCCATTCGTGTCATCCGACAAGAGATCGACGCCCACTCCAAACATGCCGACATTGCGATTGAGTTGTGTTTCGGGCAATGTCAAGTGCAATTCGACGTAGTAGGGTTGACCGGGTTGGAGGATGCGATGTGTGGTTTCGGGGGGCGGCAAGGCTTCTTCGTGGAGGGTTTCCACGCCCCACACGACGGCTTGTTCCCGAACAAACAAATCGACCGTGGCCCATGGGGCATACGAGTAGTAGATTGTTGTTGTGGAAGCTGTAGCAGTGCTGCATGAGTCGGCGTCTACAACTGACGGAGGACTACAGGAGGTTTGCAACGTTGTATGTTGTTGTTCTTGCTTGGTTGAAGAGGGTGTTGTGCTAAAGGTGACATTGAGATGAGGATAGGGTGCCGTTCCCGTGTAATCAAAGAACAAGGGTCTCGAAGCGTAATTGCCGGGCATGACGGCCCAATAAAAGACACCATAGCACGTGGCCGAAGAGAAGAGGAGCAGGAGACCAAAAGCGCATAGTTTGATGATCCGAAAGGTCCACGGAATAATGCCGATAAATTTGGTTTCGTCGTCGGGATAGTAATGATAGTAGTAATACTGCTGATCATTCCACTGATGATGATGGATGGGCTGTAGACCACCTCCTGCTCGACGCGCCAACGCCATGGAGGCCATCATGGCATGTTGGAAAAACTCGTCCTCCTCTGAAACCCCTCGATTGGTTGTGTCGTGACGAACATGATTGCTGTTGTGGCTTTCTCTCATGTCTGTAGGGACTTGCGGATTGATGGATTCGATTCCGTGCATTCAATCCTTTCGTCCTTGCGAATGGACTTGCGTCCTGCTTGCTCACAGCAATGCCAAATGCCAAGGACAGGAGCTCCGACAGCCTGCTCCACGCTCCTTCAAGAAGCTTGAGTGCACAGGAAGAGAACTACTGTATTGCTGCTACTGTACCAAAGCCACGAATCGGTAGAGGATGAGATCATCGTCATCGTCGCCGAGTTTGTGTAAGGTGATGATGTGTTTTCGTTTAACCCTCTCCCTAAGGACCACAAAAATGAGGCCATGGCGCAAATTAAAGGACACCGGAGGTGTTTGGTCTCCCAGACCACGCTCCTTTTGGTTTCCCCCTCAGTTGCACTCTGAAATCGATTGGCTCGCGTTTACTGTGTAAATTAGTGTACCCGCACTTCAGTTGCAGAATCAACGGTCATGTGTATCGTTAAGTAACAAGTTCCCTTTCGAAAGATTTAGATTGATTCGTGGAAAAAGAACCGTTGAAGTTACTAAGGTTAAGGATAAACCGATCGAAGCGAAAGTCCATTATTGAAGGCACAGCACTTACTTCTCTCCCTCATTGAATTCGTATGGTAAACAGGAGGTAAATCCAAGCTTGGCCGACAACAATGCATGGTGAGTGCTTTATCCAATCGGCCGATCGATCGAATCGATTCGAGGTAAGCCTATTATCAAGAGTGTTACTTGAAGGTACAGCGCTGACTTCTCTCCCTCATTCAATTCCTATGGTAAACAGGAGAGAATTCCGAGCTCGGCCGTCAACAGGTGAGTTGTTTTAATTATTCGAATCGAATCGATCGGTCGCACCTCTGTTATCCAAGCCAAGCCGGCTGTATTCGAATCGATCGATCGCATCTCTATTATCTCAGTTATCCAAGCCTCACTCAAGCCGGTTGACTCTGGTACAGAAGCGAAAGCCATCCCTCATTGAATCCTATGGACCATGGGATGGCAGTCAGTTCTCAGCCATGGACGGCCAAGTTGGAGAACAAGGGTAAGTCGCCGGTCTTCTTCAGTATCAGAAGAGAAGAGAAAACCATAGCTATTTCTTACTTTCTCTTCTCTTACTGCTGACGGCCAGCGAAACACCATTGTTGAGTCCTTTTCGGTCGCTCCGGACAACAAGAGGAGAGGCTTCGATCGATCACTACGAACAAGAGGATGCTCTGTTAACTCCAGCCCTATCACCAGCCTGAACATCGTCGAGTCATTGAATGGCAACAGTCGTCAACAGGAGGAGGAGGCTATACGACACACGACAACACACAAGAGAGTGGATCCTCCTACCGGATTCATCCCTTCTTGTTATTTCCTACTGTTTTGGTGGTGATTCCTGTGTCGGTACCCATTTTCCTGTATGCGCAAGTCAAGTACTGTTGCCACTAGCTATACGGCTATGGCAGCTGGCTACAATGGCTGGATTGACAATATTCGGTTGTGTGTGTATTCGTCATAAGGATCCAATGCGAGGTAACCGAGTGCAGTGAGCAAAGTCGAACCTGAG